GAGCGGCCGCCGCCGCGTGTGAGCCCGGCGGAGACGCCGGCGGGGAGGCGCACAGTTTCCATCGCAACTTTTGGGCTGTATAAAGGCGAGGTGCATCTGATAAGGGGATTTGGCGGCAAGTGCCGTGTTGCGGCTTGGAGGGCCTGGGACCGGGGTGACCGGGGACCGCCGGGGACCGAGGCAGCTCATTAAACTTTTTGACGAGATAATTGGCAAGATGGGCCGCCTTTGATTGGGCCCGGCTGCGTCGTTCGGACAGCATTTTGGGCGCTGATCTCGCTCGCCTGCCCCGAAGGAGCTTCGCAGATTTTGACGATGAATGGAACTTGCAGTGGAGGGCCGGCTGTCCAGTGTACTCGCCTCAGCAACGGCGAGCTCCTTATCGAGAAGGCCGACTCCACAAAGTCTAATTTTTGTTTGTTTTTTTCCACAGCTCTGGCGATTTGACGGTGCACGAGCTCCGAACTACTGCGAGGAGCCCTGGGAAGGTTCTGGCCTGAATCTGAGGACCACCCCCCTGCGTGCCCACAGGGCCGAGGTGGCTGCACGGCGAAGCAGTGCACTGGAACAAGGCCACGTGGCGCGTTGCTGAGACCTGCTTCGGGGGCCAGCGCTGGCTGTGCTACCTGAAACAAAAAAAAAACATCCATCGAAGCCCAAAGCGTGGAGCCCGGCCGCTGCCTGCGTGCCAAGGTGAGACAATCACGTCGGCCAGCCTCGAGTGCGTCACCTTTGTTGTCTGTCACTTTTGTCTCGCCAAAAGTTTTGTCCGTGCGTCTCACCTTTAGATTTTCAGTGTGTTCCAGGGACCCTGCCAGTCTTGCCATCACCCCAAATGCGGCCCTATTTGCTCTCAATTTGTGCCATGTCAACACGAACAGGCGAATGAGGCCTGCAAGGGGAGGACAAACAAGCGGCATCTCAAAGAATGCCAGCGCCAGCCGCGCCGGCCGCGCAGCCCGCCTGCACAAACAGGCAGTATAAATACTTTCGCCGCGCTTGCCTGCCTGCCCGCCTGGCCCGGACGCAACTCAGCAAGGAGCCATCGACGACAAGCCACTTTGAGGAAATCAATGCACTGGATCGTTTTATTTCGTCCCGTTATTTCCACATCGTTTTTTTTTTGCTTAAAGTAGAGGAAATTATTTATAGGTGAACCCTGAAAACGTTTCTGCGCTCCTGGACTCACTGCTGCCACGCTCTTGTTTTCTCTGCGGAAATCACTCTGTCTGTCTGTCTGTCTGTCTGTCTGTCTGTCTGTCTGTCTGTCTGTCTGTCTGTGTGTCTGTCTTTGTCTCTCTCTCTCTCTCTCTCTCTCTCTCTCTCTCTCTCTCTCTCTCTCTCTCTCTCTCTCTCTCTCCCCCTCTCTCTCCCCTGTCACCGAGTTGATTTTGTGCCGCTGCGGCTGGAGGCCCTGCCCCGAGCGCGGGGACTGCGGCACTAATACCCGTAGAGGGGCTGGCGCCCTGGCGGCGCGGCGGGGCCTTCCGTGAGAGCGCCTACAGGTGTGCTGGCTGTGCCTGGGTGTGGCGTGCCGCACCTTGTCGCGACACTCACGTGGCCGGCGGGGGATTTAGCAGAAATAACACGGGGATTAGTGCTCCCTCTGAAAATAAAAGTTGGCTGCCTTGCGGATCAGCCGGAGCCTGCCGCGGGGCGCAGGGCGCTCCTTCGGCAGGGGGAGGAAGTGTGCGTTCCACTCTCACACTGCGAAAAAAAAAACAGCAGTTTGGTGTGGAAAATGGAGTACGGAGTACATACCTCCCGTTTTCCGGCTGTCCGTAGTCCCCGTTACGATCTGGTGCGGATGCGCACAAAAACCGGTTCGGTTGACCCGGGAACTCTCTAAAAACCGCCCGTATCTCTTAACTGTGGGCTTCTCTGGGAAAAGCAGGAATGTTTGTCGAGTTTAACGGAAGGTGGCCAGGCCCGGACGGTCGAGTCACGGCGTTCTCTGCACAGCGGCCCGGATTAATAATGGACCAGACATGTCCCGTACTTTTCGTACTTGCTTTTCCTACCAGTGACCTCCATCCGGGCCGGCACGTCAGCACGGGACCCGGGATGAGGGCGGCACGGCCCGGCACGGCCAAACTGCACTGCGGGGCGGCGAAAGTCGGCTCGCTGATTCGGCCGTGTTTACCGACCAGCTTGTAAAAGGGGAGTGCAGCCACTGCAAGTTGGCCGAGTTACCTCGGGCAGCGCGGCAGCGGCGCGGCAGCAGCGGGCCCAGAGCCGCCTTGTGTGAGCATCGCCAGCTCAATTGAGCAGAGGCCAAGTTTATTAATCAAAGTTTGGATTCGGGGACGCCGGGCCGCCGCTCCGCGCGTCGCACCAGGTGCACCAGGCCGCCCCCGCCCCGCCCCGCCCCGCCCTGCTCCACCGCCCCACCCCACCCTGCCCCGCCCCGTCCCACCGCGCCCCACCTTGCCTCGCCCCGCTCTGCCCTTGTGTGCGTGCGTGAGTGCGTGTGGGCGCGCACGTACAAATGTCTGGTCTTGAATGTTCCCCCCGTCTTGGCTTCAAGTTTCTTCTTTAATCTATCCAGAGACTCCAGACCGCCCCTTTCCCCTGCCTTCCCCTCATCCTGCCACAAGGCTCAGATGCTGTCCATTCCGCTATGTCGCAGGATCGTTGAAAATTGCGCACTTTCCGAACAGATTTTTGGCGCACCGGGACCATACAAACCTGACCTAGCCTAACCAAGTTTGAAAAGCGTGCAGGGTTTATAGACCCTGACGGCCACTGCACAGTGGGCCAGAATACCCATGGAGGCGGCCAAACTCCTAGGCGTGTTTTGAGCTCCAGAGTCGCTACATGAGACTCGAACTGAGCGTTTGTTCCCACCAATGCATTCTTCTTCCGGGGAGCACTCCATTGCGGTGGGATAGACGTTCGGTTCGAGTTCCCTCTGGTGCTCTGTGCCGTGCTATGGCAGTGTGCAGTGCCTTGCATGGAGAGCCGTCCAGTGCCTTGTGATGCTCGTGATGCAGCGCCTTCCGCAGTGCACTGCCTCGCAGTGCAGGACGCAGCGATACACATCGGACCGATTCCCCTGCGCACGCGACCCTGCCATTCGGCCAGTCAGCTCGCTGTGGCGGGGCGGTGCGGGGCTGGGCGGGGCGGGGCGGGGCGGGGGGCGGGGCGGGGCGGGGCGGGGCGGGGCGGGGCGGGGCGGGGCGGGGCGCGGGTCGAGTGGAGGGCTTTCGGCTTGTCAGATCCCTCGCCGGGTCCGAGAGGTCCGAGATGTCCGTGGGTCATCAGGCCGTGGCCGTCCGCCCCGACTCCGCACTCTCGACCCCCGCGCCAGGCCGCCCAGGCCGAGCCAGGCGGTCGGACAACCGGCGCTCTCGGAGAGCTCCCCAGCAGATGATGCATCATCCACCAAATGAAAAGACGACGGAAGCATCCATGCCAGGTGGGATTGCAGCACTCCCGACAAAGACAAGGCCGACTGCGTCGCGTGCGTCGCGTGCGTCGCGTGCGGCGTGGGCGTGCCGGGCCAGACCGCCTCGAGCGAGGCCTCGAGTATGGACGTCACGCCCGCCAACCCTCAACTAATTCAACTTTGTCAGTAGGGCGACGAGTCTCGCCTGCGGTCGGGGCGCACTAGCGCAGCAGCGCGCCCCGTCCACGTCGCCAGTGCTACCACACTGCCACCACAGTGCCACCACAGTGCTACCCGGAAGGGGAGGCTGGCAGCACACCGCTAAACCATCTGATTATGCAAACGAGCGCTGCAATGGCGCCGCTATCGCGGCGTTTTGCGCTAATCGACATCTGTTCGCCGCCACCGGTCGCTTCGGCCAGGCGGAGTGGCGCTCAGAGAGGCAGTGCTGTCCTTGGCCACAGGCAAGGTGTCCTCGTGGCCGTGCAGCCAACCCACGACCGATGTCAATCATTGAGCTCACTGCCGTCTCGCTTCCAAGGGCACAGCGACACCGCGTCGGCGTGCTGCAGCGTGAAACGCAACGCGCGACCGAGGTTCGCAGGTTCAGCGATCAGTCAAGACTGCAGAGACAGCCGGAGCGGCGAGTGGTGCGCCATTACTCACCGCGTCCAATTAAAACTATGGCAGCTTATTGATGAATCCGTGGGACGCTCTCTCGGCCTCGCCTCTCACCTGCGCCGCGCTCGGCGCCTTCACTGCAGGGCGGCCTCTGGTTTTCCCAGGCAGCCTCCGGTACAGCTAGTGAAAGATGCAGGGAGTTCCTGGGAAAACCAGGAAGCCCTTTTGGCCGTGTATAAGGTGGGATACTGATATTATTCCGATTTATTCTCAAGTTGTTTGTAATAGTGTTGGTTCTGTTTCTGAGGTTTTTGGGTATTGTTAATTTTCTTTACCGAGGACTCAGAGTGCACGCTCCATGAACGCCTGGGCAATAATTCAACAGCTCTAGTGGCCTTTCCACGTCTAGGACGTCCCGTTGTCCGATAAAAGAAAAATCGGAGGCAAGGGTTGCGTCACAGTTTTGTCGTATGCACCCTTTATGACCCCGCCGGTCTAGGAACGAAATTTGTGACAGGTTCGTACGAAAAGAGAGATTCTCGACCCCTGCGCGAATACTACCTAATATGATTACTGGCAATCTCATTCGTGGCGCATTGATCGTGTGTGTAGTGTTTGCCGTTGGTGGGAGGGGCGCGGCGGGCCGCACCACCGCAATAAAAGTATACTGCCGCGGAAGTCGGCCTGGTCGTGACTTGGTGCCGCGTGTCCCCGCCTCGTCCTCGCCCCCCCCCCCCTCCCCCCTCCGGCCCCCGGCACCGCCTTGCTCGCGGTAATCGTCCTCCGAATGACAAAGCAACGCAATCAAAGTGGCTGGCTTCTTGCTTTACTTCTCTGGGCCCGGGAAGGGCCTGGGCCTGGACGCGGAAATGGCGTTTGCGGGCCTAATGGGTGCTGGCACAGATCTGAGGGTCACCGCTTGGCTTGTGCGAATGAGGAAGGACAGGGGAAGAAAAACAATTCGTCAAATAATACAATAATGTTATGCACAGTCATATGATACATCCACTACGACGACGAAACCATAGTTATGGCATATAACGTTTTTGATGGTACCAGGACCAACTTATATAGAATAATAATACTTTCTTAGCACAGTCTGGTTTCCTAAACACTCCATTCTACAACTAATGTCCAAAAGTACACTACGATATGTTTTCTTGAGCAGCAATTTTTTTCTGTAGGCAGGAAGTATTGATATGTATCGTTGCTTTGTCGATGCTCTACGAATGGCATCTGTGGTATTCGTAAGCTTTCTACAAGATCTCGTTGTCGGCCCAGGTAGTCGCTGCGAGGGAAAATAGAGGACATTTGTGAAACCGAGCTGTGAATTAAAGATTAGTTTGTCTTGGCGAGGTTGCCTGCCTACCTTGGTAGTGCATGTCTCTGTACATGCTCGGACAGTTTTTCCCCTGAACAAAAGATAACAAGACTTTAAATGTTTTGCTTCAGGCGGTGCTCTCAGGGAACCGTTGCTGGTCGTACCTGCTCGCGGAAGAAGTCGATGTTGGTCCGCACGGTGCGGTGGTGCAGCGGCTGCAGCGGCCGGGCGTTGTTGCCGAGGGGGGCCTTGGGGGTCTCGGGGGAGCCCTGCATCAGCTTGCGCAGCGAATACAGCTGGAGGAGCAGATTGTCAGCGACGCACAAACACACATCAACATGTACCAGTGCCGTGACGCTCACCTCCTGCCTGGTGATGTAGATGGGCTTGTTGAGCAGGATCCAGACGGTGGTCTCCCAGCAGCCCGGGTGCGTGGTGCTGCCCTCGTAGGTCATGTAGTGGTTGGTGTCGGGCAGCAGCGCGCGCACCGACAGGTGGCGGATGGGCGTGGTCTGACCTGAAGGCAGCAGCGGGAGGGTTCAGTTCGCCCTTCAAGATCCACGGGCATTGCCTTCAGCAATCAGTGAAACAATTGGAGAAACTCTGTCCTCGCTCACCTCGGTGATGCACTTTGTTGAACACCGACGTGATGAGCCGCAGCTCCGGGTTCGGCGTCTCCCCGATCTGCAACAGGTCACCGCCAAACAGCCACACAGTCAGACACCGATTCGCACTGGGCTGGTCCAGCGCGGCGCTCGGACGGGTAGTCGGGGCAGCCCCCCCTCCCTCCCCCAACCCAGCCCCGCACAGTGGGCCAAAGCACGGCGCGACCGAAGCTCTACACGCGTTAAGCAGGACACGAACCGGCGTGTGACCCCACCAATGGATTCCTCGTTCGGAGACAATCCATTGATGGGGTCACAAGTTCGATTCTGGTCCCATTTAAGGACTCTGGAGCTCAAAACACGTCTCAAATTTTGGCCCTCTCCACCGGCCCTCTGGGTCACTGTGCGCCGTCTCGCTTCACCGAGCCGAGAGACTCGCCCGGCCGATCCCTAACCCTTTTTCGGGGCAAACTCGGATGACGCCCGCCGCGGCCACGTGGCCGCCTCCACCGGTCTTCTGGCCCGGTGCACTTGTCCCGGGCGCGGCGTGACGGCGACGTGGCGCGATGTGACGCGACGTAACGCGACGTGACGGCGACGTGACGGCGACGTGACGGCGACGTGACGGCGACGTGACGGCGCCGCGAGAAAAAGACGGCAACGCGACACGCCGCATCGGGAGCGCCATCGGGGCACGCCGGGGCACCGTCGGGGCACCGACGGCCACCAAAGGCAACCCAATTAAAAATAATTGCGCGACGCATTTCTCCCGTTGCCAGAGCGAAGGGGGCGAGGAAAGGGGCGATGGAAGGTGGAGAGGGGCGGCGGATTAGAAAGAGACTCGAGGGGCGTCGGGCCGCGGCGGCTGAGGCGGCCGAGGCGCGGCCTAACGCCGAGTGAGTGAGTGAAAGTGAGTGGCCGACACCGCCGTGCCGGCGGGGCCGACACACACCAGCCAACCGAACCCGCCACAGAACGAGCTCGACGTGTCGCTTCTTTTCACACCTTCTTGAACATCCACATCGCCCCACCGCCCCGGCTCCTTCGCGGGAACCGTGATCCACTGTGAGGCGGGCGGCACCCTGGGTCACCCGCACCCCTCCGCCACGCCCTGGCCACGCCGCACAAGCAGGACAGGAAGGGCACGCGTCCGCGGCTGAGTGATGGCGGCCTGGTTGTCTGGCGGCCCGGCCTGGCGGCCTGACGGCCCGGCGGCGCGCGGTCGCCAGATTGGACACCGGAGAGGACGCGATGCAGGCCTGGACCGCGCCGGCCGCGGCCGCGCGTGGCTCGGGTTGCTAACGATGGCACGGCGACCCGCGCGGCCTGCAATACAACACGCAGCCTTCCCACACGATCCATCCCGAAAAAGGGGAAGCAGAAAGGCAATGCGCTGCCACCTGCCGAGCCTGCCCGGCCTGCCGTGCTGCCTGTGGATGATGGATGGCCCCGCCTTATTGAGATTAATGCATCATTACCCCGTGCCTACACCGCCAAATGCAATTGGAATATCAACCCTTGCTCAGTGCGCCCTAAGCTCTACACGCCTTTTCAGCTCGAGGGTCGCTAAATGGGACTTGAACCGAACGTGTGACCCCCACCAATCGATTCCTCATTTGCAATTCACGGGTGGGGACAGACGTTCGGTTCGAGTCCATTTAGCGACTCTGGAGCTCAAAACGGGTCTGGGATTTTGACCGCCTCCACCGGTCTTGTGGCCCGCTGTGCGCCGTCCCACCTGCAGCATGAGGGAGATGGCCACGATGCCCTGCGACTTGTGCTGCGCCTCGGACATGTTGTGGTACAGCTCGGCGTTGAAGCCGTACAGCTGCAGCTCGCCGGGGAAGGCCTGGCCGCCGACGCGGTGCTCGGAGCCCTGGCCGTCGTGGGTGCCGTAGTGGATGTAGCCCTCCTGCAGCTGGTAGCGGTACGCCAGCGGCCCGCCCGAGATGTTGACGTGGTGCTTGGAGTCCTGGTCGACGCGCAGCATGAGCGACTGGCCCGTGTTGTGCAGCGAGCCGCTTATCTGAGGGGGACAGAGATGTCAGCTCAATTTTAAAAGATTAGAATTCGCGCCCCGCAGGCAAGGCCAAGCTTTCCCGCGCTGTGACGACGCCCACCTTGTGCTTGTCGACGTGCAGCGGCCGCAGCCGCGGATCGAACAGCAGCTTGTCGGCCTCGATGTTGACGGGCGACTGCCGGCGACCTTTGCTGCAGAGGCCCCACTGGGGGTTGATGAGCCCCCAGAAGCCCGGCCCTGCACCACAAGGCGGTCAACGCTGCACTTAATGGAGCCTCACAGTGTACTGTTCTCTCACTACTACCAGTAAAAAAGCAATTTCTAGTGAGGAAATCGGACGCAAAGAAGTCAGTCATATGCTTTAAGTTTGCAACTTTTTAAAATTTTCGGAAACGGCAGAGAGCGAGGATAGAGCGCAAATGCATGCCGTTTACCTGAAATTCCATCGTATGTCCACCATTCTTCCCAGCTCGTTCGGCCCTCTGGAGAAACAATAAATTAAATCACAGCGAATCGCACACACGGCAATAGAGCGAGGGCCTCGCGAGGTCCGCCCCCTCACCGTGAACCAGCGCCAGCAGCAGGAGCAGACCGACGCGCCGCATCGTGGCTACCGCTTCAGGACACTTCACGCCGCTTCACACCACTTCACGCCGCCCTAGCGCACTTCACACCACTTCACGACACTTGACACAGCTTCACGTCACTTCACACCGCTTCACACCGCTTGACGCCGCTTGACGCCGCTTCAGGTGCAGCATGGCACTGCGCGGCACTCGGCCGACGGCACGACCTTGGACGCGGCGCGGCGCGCGGCCTTGGAGGCCCCTCAGCGGCACGCGGCACGGCACGCGGCACAGCCCAGCGGGCTGCCCAGTGCTCCGGGTCGAGCGCGGCGAGACAGTGAGGGCACCATGGTGGGCACCGCGAGGGCACCGCCGGGGCACCCGCCGGCGGCGCTGCGCGGGGTCGAGCGGGGAGGCAGGGAAGGCCCACGCGAGCGAAGCGCGGCAAGACGCCCCGGCGGCGTCGGGACGCTCGGGGGCGGGGGCGCCACGCTGGCTGCGCTGGCTGCGGAGAGACGCCGCGCGTCGGGGAGCGCAGGGCGCGCAGAGCGTCGCGGCCGCGCAGCGCGCGCCATCTCGCGGAGGGGACGCCACTGCAGAGGACGGGCCGACGCGCCTCGCCACGGCACGGCTAGCGCGCCAACAGTTTGAACGGCGGCGCGGCGGGGATGGGCGCGTCTCGGGCGCGTCGCGACGCCGCGCTGCAGGGGTGAGGGGTAGCGCCGCGGCGATACCCCGCGCGCCTAGGCAGCGCGGCAGCGTGGGGTGGAGCGGCCATACCCCACGCCAAGGGTGCGAGAGGGTTGGATGCAGCGCCTCACAACAGATGGTGCGCGACGCTGCGCGTGGTGGAGGCCAGAGGGGGCGCTTGCAGTAGACGTTGTAACTCGCCCGGGGCGAATAGAGCAAGATAGAGGCGTGTGCATTATGCCTCATGCTCTGCGACGAGGCTCCACTGGGAAAACAAGCGAGGTGGTGCGATGCGGTCAATGTTCTGTTTGAAGGAAGGGGTTGCCAACTCGAGGGAATCAGTGCGGTAACCGGCAATCAGGTGCGTGGGTTCATCCCGACGGCGACACGACTGTTCGCCGGGGGCCCCAGTGGCCCCAGCCCGCACTCGGCAAGCCACTGCCTGGTACAATGGAGTCATACGCCACCCGTCACCTTCTGCACGATGGGCGACTGCCGAGAGGTTGTATACGTCACGGAGTGAGCGGAGTCATCACCGCGAGGGAAGCGCCCGTCGACGCAAAATTGCGAAGCCGGAATGTGGTCCGAAAATTGCGGACCCAGCGGGCGTCGATCCCCGGTCCACCAGGTTGGGAGAACAACGCCTCTACGCTCTCAGCCTCCGCAGCTCATGGTGACCTGGCGGTAAGGCGGTGTGTATGAGGCCAGGCTTGATCGCTTCGCCCTGTTAGCGTGCAGAAAAGAGCAAAGAAACGGCGGGACTCGAACAACCAACCTCGTTGTTACGTGTCAATGCCTCTACGCTCTCGCCTTCCAACGACTTTGGAATGCGACTCCACCTGAGAGGAGTCGTGTACAACAAGCCCACACGTCGGAGGTTCGACTCCCAACACATATTATTTAATTTTACTGCCGCACTCAGTGCGGCTCAAACCCGTGACATCGGCCACCCAGGACCATATGAGCCGTGGTGGTCTAGGGTGTACAGGCGTCGGTTCGACTCCTTCTGGCGAAATTTTGACCAGGTCGACGCGTACGTAGGACACCATCGTCTACAGCTTTTTCAACTGTTCTCGGGTCAGGAAGAAAGTCATTTTCACACCAAGGACAGTTTATTGAGAGCGGCACTGTACCGAAGTAACTGCAGTCAACGCGTCCTTATTGGGACCTGCTGCACCTGAAGGAAAAACATTTACACTGTCGAGGGCTTCTGGTTCCCCCTACCCTTCCTCTCCCCGCCGCGGTGCCGCAGTGCAAGTGGCTCGTTTATCACGCTTTTGATTTGGTAGTGTGGAGGCAAACAACAGCACGCGAACAAGCCGCCCAGGCTGAGTGCGTGTGTGTGCAAAGTGTGTGTGTATAGCAGCAGTGCCGTAGGGGAGCGCTGCTCCGAGCGAAGGGGTGGAAGAGGTTCTCAACCTTAAACCGTGGAGTGGATCGGATCATTAGAAGCACGCAACAATGTAGCGAGGCTGGCGAGGCGGCGAGGCGGCGAGGCTACCCGCAGAGGCCGTGGTGGCCGTGCTGCACCCCGGCCGCCTGCCGCACCCCGCCACGCAGCCCGACACCCCGCCGCGCCCCGCGCCGCCGCTGCTGCCCGCTGGCCGCCTCCCCCGCCGAGGCTAGCTGGGGCTAGCTGAGGCTAGCTGGGGCTAGCTGAGGCTAGCCGGCCTGGCTGGCCGAAGCCTGCCGACGCCCCCGAGTGGCTGGGAGGGACCCGAAGGCCCGAAGGGGGTAGCGACGCAGCGAAGGGAGGGGGTAGGTAAGGAGGGGCAGCATCTGATTTCCAGACGGCGTGAAAAGCGCGCCCGGAAGCCGTTGAAGCTTAAACTACTCCGGAAGCACGGCGCCACCCCGCCCCGCCCCGCCCCGCCCCGCCCCTCCTTCCGCACTATCTTCCTGTTTTGCCAAACGGGCCGGGGGAAGGGGAAGGGGGATATAAATGACCAGCAGGCTGATTCCGAATCGCAGTGCTCACGTCGTTCCCTCCCTCTCTCTCGCGCGTGTAGTCCTGGGGCGTGCCGCCGGGGTGCGAGAGAGACAGACCGACGAGGCGCCGAGTCGCTCTGCCGGGCCGCGCGCCGAGCTCGCACTCGATCCATTAGCGTGGTTTATATTGCGGATCAGAGACAATCGGAGATTCTCTTTCATCCGGCGAGGAGTGAGTTACTGCGCCCCGCCGCCCCGCCACCCCGAGAGGGAGGCAGGGGGAGGGGGAGGCAGGGGGAGCGCGTCGTCGCCGAGGAGTCGCGCCGACAAATGAGGATGAGAGCGAGAGCTCTGCAAGCACCAATTAGGAGTCATTCCATTCGCATGCGTGGAAACACTGCGGGCACTGTGTCGCGCCGCGCCGGCTCACGTCGCTGTCTCTCTCGCACTCGCGGCGGGGCCCGGCCCGTCGTGCGAGTGAGACAGGGCGACGAATTAACGCCGCGCCGGCACGTCGTCTTGGCGTCGTTCTCGGCATGTCTCAAATCAGGTTGTTCCGCAGCATTCTGTGGGTGGGGACGCGACACCCTCCCCTCCCCGCGGCGCCGTTTCCCCGCCACCCCGCAAACTCTTCCCGAAGACCGGCCAGGAACTGATAGGGAATCCCCCAACGAGGTGACCCGCCCTAATTCGCTGCTGAGTCGATTCGGCGTTTGCTCGCGCCCACTGTGCGACAGAGACCGAGCGGGCCTGGCCTGGCGGCGCCTGCCGGGGACTACACTGCTAGCTCTGCACGGCACGGCGCCACCTAATTGCCTTTGGCCGGGCCGTGATTGCTGCTGGCGCGGCGCAGCGGCGCGGCCAAGCACTGAGGCACTGCGAAGCACCCCACCGCGATGGCGGCACGGCAAGCCGGGCGGCAAGCCGATTCCCTTGCATCGGCATTCGGCAAGATGGCGCCGCGCGTGCGCCGCCGCACCGCACAGTGGGACAGGAGACCGGTCGAGGCGGCCAAACTCTCGACGCGTTTTGAGCTCAGAGTCGCTAAGCAGGACTCGAACCGAACGTGTGACCCCACCAATGGATTGCTCTCCCATCCCATCAGCGGCTCTGCTGCTCAAAACGGGTCGCGACGTAGGTTCGGTTAGGTCCCGGAAAAGAGTCGGGTCTCCGTTTGCATCAAGCACTGCAAATTGAATTGCCCGGGCGTCTTGCTTGCGACGGAGGAGTGGCGGTGCCGCCACGCAGTTTGGACGCCGTCCTGACGAGATAACCCCGTCAGGCGCGGCGCCGCGAGCGTCGGGGCGGCTCGGCCGGGCACGGCCGGGCGGCGTTGCAGGGACGGGGGACGCCACTCCACCACACTCCACTCGCCGAGTTGGCTCACGTCGCCGTGTTGGACGGCTGGACGAGCCGACCAGGGAATTTGATTGGCCGAATCGCGACGCTGAGGCCCGGGCTGGCCACGCCAGGGCACGGCACGGCACGGCATGGCACGGCACGGCACGGCAAGGCACGGCAAGGCAGGGCACGGCAGGGCAAGGCAGGACAAGGCAGGGCAAGGGCACGGATCGATTTCGCTCCACCGTAAGGCGGCCCACTGGGCAGGCCAGGCAGGCGGAGGCGCCGCTGCAGCCAGCACACGTTTCTCACGCCTTCTTAAATTCCAAGTGCCGCCGTGCCGTGCCGTGCCGTGCCGCCTCGCCGTGCCGCCTCGCCGTGCCGCCGGTCGTAAGTGGCAAGCGGCCGTGCGCGCCGCGCCGCGCCCGCCGCCGTCATGGCGTTTGGGGAGGGGGGAGGGGTGCGGTCCCGGGGGAGGAAAGATGAGATCCGTGGAGCTGGAGGCGCTGGAGGCGCTGGAGGCCCTGCAGGCGCCCAGCGCTCGTACTTACTTACTGCGAGTACTTCCCCGCCGTTTGTCACGCCGATTGGCTCATCGCTCTTCTTTCCGGTCTCACTTCCGGAAACTGGATTCGACGGCAAGACGCTACTCGTTATTCGGCACGCCACTGCTAAGAAATGGCACAAAAGTTTGGCTTCTTTCAGCTCCCTTACGGCGTTTCGTTCTAGGTTTCTGCGGGGTTGGCATTACGTTCTGACGTTACAGATGTACCGACCTGCTGCGTTTAAGCGTAAGCGCGTTTGCACAGCGACTACAGTCAGGGCCAAGATCCAACGAGTGCTTGAAACAGAGTAAAAGGGGTGCTTGAAAGTAAAGCTCCAGCGCCTGCGTGCGAAAACCGGGCGGACTTTGTTGGCGGCCGCGGCAGCGCCTCGCAGTGCAGCAGCGCAGCACGACAGCCTGAATGGGGAGCCACCTCGACCTGCAGTGCGTCGCCCTTGCAGTCCTCGACTGCCGCTCCAGCCGGCCGGGGCGAGCACGCCGAGCCGAGGGTGTCGGGCCGGACTAACCTTTCATTTGTTTTCAATTAGCGACCGATTTGCACGATAGCACACAAGGGGAGCCGGGTGCGTGTAGCGGTGTCAAAGAGTTCAACAACTACTTTCTGCTTTCACTGCTTTAAAAAAACGGGTACAGAAAAAAATTCATTGAGTATTTTTGTTGTGGGCCCTGGATTTGAGGTCAGCAGACGCCATAGCCAATCCTCGCCTCTCCAGATCCCAACGCGTAAGTAAGCGGTGCAAATTAATTCGGAGCAGCAACACAAATGCATTGCAAATCAAATCTAAGCAACTTTCTTTTCTGACTGTTTCATTCGACTGCTGTCTCGCGCAACAGGAGTCTGGTCACTTCCGGTTAATGATTCCCGAAAATGCCCGCCGTGGCCTTGTTTTTCCTTTACTTCCAGACTGTGGTGCGGCTCGGGGCGTATGGGGGCGGGTCTGCCATCTTGTTCTTCGCGCGGCTCGGCAATCCGCCGATTGCCAATACCGGCAGTCAATACGATCCTCACGCGGTAACTTTTCGATATCGCCTGCGCGCCCCGCAGGGCCTATGGGCCGCCCTGGGATGCCCTGGGCCGCCCTGGGCACAGTCACAATGCACGCGCCAACTTCTTACTTCGCCGCCCTTGGAAACAACATTGTTTTCTTATGCATTATTACCGCACGACCGCGAAAACAGTGTGTGTTCGGCCAAGGTGCCGAAAGCAAAGAAAAACTGAAGGGCGAGTAGACTGCCTAAAGCTGAGAAAAGTGGAAAAGACGAATAGACCACCTGAAGCAAGGGCAACCTGTAAAGGACGAAGAAGACCAACAAAGAATTGAAATCTCTCTGACAGCAGCAAAAACGAGGAAACACCAACACTCTGATCATTAAAATATTAACTCACTCAAGTGGAAAGGAATCGGAGCCGACGTGCCCTTCGAAGGCAAAACAGGCAAAGCGAGCGAAGCGGCGTAAACCTCCTTTTTCCTCTCATTCCTCGCCGTGCCTCTTCGAGTCCCCCTTCATCCCCGACATGCCGCAAGCCGAGATGGAACGCCTCCCGGCCCTGACGTGATCTCCTTGGCTCCTTCGCTCCGCCGAGACGCTGAGCCGCGGAGCGCGCGCTATAGAAACCTCACCTCTCGCGATTGATTTGAAATGGATGAGATTTCGCTGGCAGCGCTGGCAGCGCCGGCAGCGCGCTCTGGCGGGGACTCGCGGCACTACTCTTTCACTTTGGCGGGAAATTCATTCCAGCAGTGCCTGGCGTTGCCTGGCGTTGCCTGGCTGCCTCGCGCAGCGTGCCGCCCCAACCCCCACCCACCCGTATTTTACTCGCTTCAAATATTCAGTGCTCGTCGTGTATGGGCAGGTCGTAAACCAATTTTTATCTGCGTGCGCACGGCACGGCGGCACGGCACGGCACGGCGGCACGGCACGGCGGCACGGCGAGGCCAGAATTTACTCCTCGAGTGGCTGAGACGCGCTGCCACGCCGACGGGCGGGTCGGGCTCGGCGTAAACCGCATGCCGGGGCGCGACAGGGCGGTGGAACTGCCTTCATCTAGTGCCAAATTGCCTCACTTTTTCGCTTTTCTTGCAATGTTCGTGGTGTTTTCTTTGTTTTACTTGGATTATTTTCGTTGCGTGGAGTAATTGATGGAGTAATTTAGTAAATTTGTAATTTTATTTTTGGTGTTGGATTTACTTTACTTTACTTTTTGAAAAGTCCCTCGGTAATCTGGTACCAACAAAACAAATAGTGTAGCCACGACATTTTTACGCGGGAAAAACTGACCTGAGGTTTAGTGTCGTCAGACAGGTTTGGTGTCGTCTTAACAAGCAGCTTTTGGTCATTGCTTTATTAGATTTTCGTTGGCATGTGTCGGAGTTTTTGTGTCATGTATCGTATCTTTAGTGGCATGGATCGAATTTTCGTTGGCATGAATCGGATGTTTGATCGCAGCTAGCGTTTAGCCCATCGAACAAAACAAATTCTTTTTTTTTGTCTCGAGTGTGTCTCAATGGCGCGCGCATGTGACACGCCGCGCACCCCATCAAAGTTTAGACACGGGCTTTTCATTCGTTAGCCTGTTAGGGTGGCTGCCTCCCGGTGCCGGTCCCCGTCCCGGGGCTCGTGGCTTAGTGGCTGCCTCGCACACGCGGCGACTTTGTCCTGGAGTTCTGGAGACGCTGAGGGGGGCGGTGAGATGCACTGGGGGCGGGGGCGGGGCGGGGAGGGGCGGAGAAAAAGCACACACAATAAAGCGAGTAAACAAGAGCGAAACAAACCAAACCCGGGGAGACAGTGCGCCAAGCCGCGCTAGGCCGCACCAGCAAGCGGGGCGAGCCGAGCGTATCAAGCCCTCGGCCCGCGCCTCCCCGCCCCCGCGCCGCCCCCGCGCCGCCCCCGCGCCGCCGCGACGCCATCCCCTCCACGGCCGTAGCTCCTCCCACTTCCTCCCGCCTGGCTCCTCCCCAGCCGCTGGACCAGCCAGCCTCCCCTCCCGGCACAGCCTCACTCACTACGCCACCGCACGTCGCGCTCCACGCAGTGCACTCCGCGCGCGACGCTCTCGCTCCAGACGGCCACGTGGACGACGCGGCGACGCGGCGACGCGACGACTGTCTTTCGCGCCACGTTCGGCGCGTGTAACGCCGGCTTGTGACGAGTGTTTTGCTGGGCGGGCTGCTGGCGCTGCCGCGGTCCGCGTGGCGAGGGGGCCTCGTTGGCGGGGCCCTGGTTGGCGGGGCCCTGGTTGGCGGGGCCCTGGTTGGCGGGGCCCTGGTTGGCGGGGCCCTGGTTGGCGGGGCCCTGGTTGGCGGGGCCCTGGTTGGCGGGGCCCTGGGGGGCCCGGCAGGCAGCGCGCTGTTCCCCAGAGGCGCGCCCTCGTCCAGCGCTACGGCCGGCTCGGCCGCCTTCTACTCCCAGGCCGGCCTGCTCGCCTGCGAGGACGGCGTCGGCGGCGTCGGCGGCGTCGGTCCCCCAGGCCCGCTGCCCACCCTGTCCTCCGGCCTGGCGTGCCTCGGATCGGCGGGGCCGCTGTCCGTGCTGCACTCGCAGCAGCTGGCCCACAAGGTGAGAGAGTGTTGCTGTTCACTTCCCACGCAGAGAAACACGGCTATCTCAGTGGCGTCGCTCTCAGAAAAGGGTTGCATTCATTAGAACAGAGTGCCGCATTGTCCGGGCCGAATTAACACTCGATTCGCGAATGAAACGAGTAAATATTCGACGTGAGTGCCACGGGGTACATTCACATAACACTCGAGTCACTCTGTCCGTCCGTGAGCACCCGAGATTGTGTGCGTAACAGGAGAAATTCTCGAAATTTTGCCCATTCTTGGAGTTGTTTTGGGCAGTTTTCAGCAGAACCTCGATAATTTTTGGCGTGCGTTATAGTCGGGTCACAGGTTTCGAGAGTGTACACCCTTTCGACCCAATGTTAAATGACCCATTCCCGAAGCAGTGTTGTTGTTTTGACCGATGCATGCGGCAAATCATACCTACGCTTGCGAGTCTTGACTCAAGTTGGGGGAAAAGGGGGGGGGGTCTTTTGTTTTCTGCAATCTCTCGTAATCACCGCGTTTTCAATATCTTGAGAGTGCCACTGGATGAATGAAAGGAGACACTGCTTGGCCTTGGGCGGCAGGGCATAGTAGCCATTGCTCTGCTGGTCGCTGAGATTCCGCTCGCAGCTGGAACGCATCGGCCCCGTGAATGTCAACACATGCCGCCCGCTCCGGTCCGCCCAGTCCAGTCGGGCCGGCCGATGCAGGGATGCTGTCAGTGCGAATCGTTTTGCGAGGCCGCGGAGACGTTAACGCGAGGCGGGCCCGGCCGTGGGGCCGCGGGCCGTGGGGCGTGGAGGGCAGGGGGCGGATCCAGGGGAGGGGTAAACTCTCCCGTCATCGGGTTCACTGCCTGGAAGCTAGTCTAAAAACACTAAACTTTGCGCCTGAAAATCGGCAAAAAGTAATGCTTCGCGCCCTCCTTACAAAAATCCCGGATCCAGGCCTGGTGCAGGGCGGCCCCGTAGGTGTTCGCAGTCGTCGTCCGCTCCGAACCATGCGCAGTGCCGCGGATGCCGCGGAGGGCCGCAGCGTCGTGGAGCGCCTGGCAGCCCGACCGGCCCGCCGAACACAGGTGTTCCCGCGGTGCCTGCCTGCCGGGCGCCAGGCTGCCCCAGGGCTGCCCCCGACCCGCTGCGCGTCGCTGCGCCTCCGGCGAGCCCGGCAAGGCCGCCATACACAAACAGGGCCTCCCCGCCAAATTAGAAACGAATCTAGGGTCCGCCGCTCGGGACCCGCACGGCGGCCTTGGGAACATCGGGCCGATCCGTGTGATTGAAAATTAATGATTTCGAGTGCGGAGCAAAGGGAGGCGGGAGAGGCAAGGGGAGGGGAGGGGGAGGGCCCGCAAGCGTCACTTGATATTTTATTATGTGGGCAATTAGGGTGCTCGACGTTAATTACACAACAGCGAGTCTCTCACTCGGACAGAGAGAGAGAGAGAGAGAGAGAGAGAGAGAGAGAGAGAGAGAGAGAGAGAGAGCAGAGAGAGAGAGAGAGAGACAGAGAGAGACAGACAGAGAGAGAGAGAGAGAGAGAGAGAGAGAGAGAGAGAGAGAGAGAGAGAGAGAGAGTGCATGCATTGTCTGCGTGCCCCCATCCGCTTCCGATCGGACTCAAAGCGTATGGTGACGTCATTTTGAATTAATGAATAATTAAGATTTCCTTTTGCGAGCGGCGTTAATTCGTTTAACAGTTTTCCTCTGGTCATTCACGATACAGTTATTTGTGAAGAAAAAAAAGCGCGGTGATAGACGGAGAGAGGAGGAGCGGAGTTGATGCGTTTTATTATTCTCGGAATGAAATCTAACCGACGCGAGGCATTACGTATTGACCCACAAGCGATCAAAACTGGCACTGGATACTCGGCTAATAGGCCGTGAGTGACAGCAGCGGCGTCCCCGCCAGCGTCCCCGCGCCGCCGCTCCACTCCCTAATATAAAACTTAATAAACGTCACTTGTTCGGGGCCGGGCCCCCTCTGCTCTCCCTGCCCGTCCGTCCGTCCGCCCGTCCGTCCCGGCATCTGCCCGTCTCTCTCGCGCTTTCTCCGTTGTCCGACCGACATCCTTTGGAAGCGGTTTGAAAACACTCAGTGGAGTGCGTCCGAGGACTTTGCTGCGCTCGCGGCGTGCTCGCAGCGTGGCCGTCGGCGTCTTTAAGGGGCTCCCGCCCGAGAAGGCCGCATCTGGCGCCGGGCCGGCTGGAGTTGCGGCGCTGCGAACCGGACCCGGCAAAGGGGTAGCCTAACCGAATTACGGGTTGCAGTGGATGATCCTGTTGGTGGCATCATCCCACCCGGCCCCAGCCCCTGCCGACCCGTCGTGTCCCATCCCGGCGCGGCCTCGGACTCCCTCCGAACTGCGCCGTCGTCGCTCTGCGTCGCTCTCGTGGCGCGTCCCGCGTGGGTGCGAGGGAGACAGTCAGCCCTGCTGCACCGGAGTGGAGTGAGCCGCGCTGGAACCGAAACCGGATCCGGCTCAGACGTCACCAATCGGACATATGACAAAATCGATTTGTTTCCATGTCCAAAGTGACTTTTAACTGTTGCAATCGCACCAGAACGACAAAATGGTGCGTTTGCCGTGTTTGATGGGGCGGTGATGGGAAGGGCTACCCCGTCGCGCGCACTGCGAGGCATTACAGGGCGCAGGACCTAGACCTCGGCCCTAGTGCCGGCGGCCCTGCACCGCGTCGAGGGCCGTGGGGGCCGTGGGGGCCGCGGGGGCGAAACCTCATGACACACATTAGGGGCCATGTAATGCCGCCCAGGATGTGAGCCATTACGAGGGGATCGCGTGGCGGGTGCTGGGCGCGTCGCAGAGCCTAGGCTGGAAAAGCAACGGGTTTCCGAAGCAGTGGGTCAGAAGACAGAGCCCCGCAACGAGCGGGTTCACGACCCCGTATCATAGCAGTGCGTGTGGGTGGGTAGCGCTGGGCCCTGCAGCTACAACTGCAGCGCGCTCCAGCGGCCAAAACTCCAGACGCGTTTTGAGCTCCAGAGTCGCTTCATCTCGAACCGAGCGTGTGACCCCACCAATGGATTCCTCGTTCGGAACGCAATCCATTGGTGGGATTCGGTTCAGTTCGGGTGCTATTCACCGACTCTGGTGCTCAAAACGCGTCTAGAATTTTGGCCACTCCACCGTCCTCTGGCCCACTGTGCACCGCCAGCAGAGCCAAGGCAGAGCGGAACACCGCGACCCCCATGCACCTCGGCTCGGCGCATCACAACCAATTGATTTCATTAAACCAGAGCGACGCACGCCGCGCGCGTGTTGTCAACCATCACTTGTTTTTTCCTTGCTTTTTTTCGGGGCACGCTCTTCAGTTCGGCCCACTAGCGCCACTGGCGGCCCGGCGGCCAGTTAAGCGAGTTAGCCGTTATTCGCGTGTGTGGCCGGCCAAGCTGACGCGGCGTGGAGGCGCCCCTCCTCTGTGTGCACTTATCGTCACGGTGCGACGTTACCGCGTTACACGTCACACTGTTACGCTGTTGGGCCGCTGGGACCGGCAAGTACCGCTAACTCGCTTGACACGGAATTATCGCAGCCTCGCGCTCGGCGTGCCCGGCTTGCTTCGCTTGCTTCGCTTGCTCGGCGCGCTGCGCCAAGTTTTCTGCCGCCACTCCCCCCTCCACCGGCGCCGCGGTGTTGACACGCCCCGGCGGTTTATTTGCGCCCACTGATTCTCGGCGTATTGACAGTCTCGGTGGCGGCGGCTCGCAGAACCGCTCAAATAATCAAATTATAATCTGTTTGGCCCGGCCGATCGAATTACGGTGAGGGCCACGGCCGTGCTGCCGGCGCGCGCCGCCCAAAATAGACGAAAAGGAAACTTTTTTGCACGGGTTCGCGAGAATGTGGGGGAGTTGATTTAAGAGCTCATTTTCCCCATCGACAAATAATCGGTGCGGACAGCAAGCCAGCGTGCCAGAGCGAGCCCTGCCGGGGGGTCCTGATTGCGTCCATCGACGTCTTCTTTTTGCGCCTGACAGAGGAGCGTGCCGAATGGCCTACCGCCCGTCGAACAAAACTCGACCGCCGGATCGCCAGCATCGCCATCGCGACGCCGAGGCCGAGGCCGCGCGGCGAGGCGGGGCCCTGGTGTGACAATTTGCATTAATTTACAGCATAAACCCAAATTAAAGGCAATAAAGCGAGAGCCACACCACAGCTGCTGTGCTGGTACAGCGGCGAGCAGCGGGGACACACGAGCCGCCTCGGCCCGAGCCGAGCCGAGCCGAGCCGAGCCGAGCCGAGCCGAGCCGTGCCGAGTCGAGCGCGTCCGTCGGCAGTCACCTTCCAGTCCATCGCCGAGGGCATTCCTAGCGGATCACTGCAGTCTCGGCTGTTTCCCAGCGCCGTCCCGCTGCTGTATTCTGAATCTTCCATTCGACGCGAAGGAAGGACTCTACAGTAAAAACGGTACCTGGTTTTCCCAGGAACCCTATGGCGAAAGATATAGGCGATTTCCAGGGTGTTCCTGCTCACTAAAAAGTTTCTAGCTGATTCGCTCCTAGTGGTGCAAATTTCACACTTTCACAGTGCGAAAATGGACCACTCCTGGAGGTGCTAATTTTGCACTACAGAGTGCAAAGTAGTAAGTCGATAGCACTCCCCAGTGCAAAAGTGAAACCAGGGGTGAAAAACGCCAAAAGTGCTAATTTTACCCCCCATAGTGTGATTTTTACTCTTTGAAGTGCAATTCTTCATTTCAGAGTGTGTTAAAACAGCAAGTTCTCTTTGGGGAAATGTTCAATAGACTAAAGAAGAATGGCTTATGGTATGTCAAGTTTAATTAAATCCATAAAATTAAACAGAGTCAAAGCTACTGAGGCTTTAATTTCACAAATTCAAAACTATCCATGAGGAAATAAAAACAATAAGTTTTTATTACAGAAGAGTAACTCCACCCCAAGGAGGACCGAGAACTGGGATTGGGTCACGGATTCGGTTCAAACTTTGTGGGTTCAATAGGTACCACTAGGACATATCAACCCCCAAAGGAAAGTTGGCTAGCTCAAACAGAACCTGAGATATTTGCATTTTTCTAAATTTGACTAATTTAGCGAAAAATTGTCGCTTTCTGACTTTTTTTATGGTAAAAGTTGTTCGCTTAGTTCTGGCTTATGTTTCTTCTTTCTAGTCGTAAAAAAAGAAGAAAAATGGTGGTAGGCCAAGTTTTGTACGTTGCTTGGTTTGGCCTACTCTAGCAATTTTGTCGAATTCATCGAAACTCTCATACCCAAAATACTCCACCTTGGATTTGACCCTGGTACGTCTCATTTCACTTCTTTTACTCTAATAAACAATTGCTATGTAGTCCTTAGCACCAACAATTCCATGTAAGCCAGAAAAATCAAAAACACCATTTTTCAATTTTCTACTTTGACCTATTTTGGGCACTTTTGTTAAGATTAGGGCTTCTACATGATCTTGGGTGACAGGAAAGATCCTCCCTGCCCTCAAATTAGATAGTATCAACACAAACAAAGAGACCCAAACTCTAGGTGCACTAAAAATTTATAAGGAAATTGTTTCGAGCAAATTTTGCAGGTTTACGAGGGGTGTGAGAAATTTAAATCGGAGGAAAATGTAATGCTTCAGCCAAAAGTGGATTTGTGGTTCATTAGTTAGCTTTCTCAAGTAGGTTTGGTGCCCTTTTAACCCTGAGAATGTTCCTCCTTGATAATCAGAGTTAAAACCCTGTTTTGGTATGGGGTTGTTGGACTTACGATTTCAACTCATCAACAAAGTAATGATCCATTTATTTAGGTTGCTTGCAATATTTAAGTTCAACCGCTTAGTCTCAATAACTGAGCCTGGTTCCATTTGGTTTGTAAATTTTTGAGACCAGCCAGATGACCAAGACTAAGCGGTTGAACTTACACGTTGCAAGCAACCTTAGTAAATGGATCATTACTTTGTTTATGAGTTGAAATCGTAAGTCCAACAACCCCATACCAAAACAGGGTTTTAACACTGATTATCAAGGTGGCACATTCTCAGGGTTAAAAGGGCACCAAACCTACTTGAGAAAGCTAACTAATGAACCACAAATCCACTTTTGGCTGAAGCATTACATTTTCCTCCGATTTAAATTTCTCACACCCCTCGTAATCTTGCAAAATTTGCTCGAAACAATTTCCTTATCAATTTCTAGTGCAACTTGAGTTTGGGTCTCTTTGTTTGTGTTGATACTATCTAAATTGAGGGTAGGGAGGATCTTTCCTGTCACCCAAGATCATGTAGAAGCCCTTATCTTGACAAAAGTGCCCAAAATAGGTCAAAGTAGAAAATTGAAAAATTGAGTTTTTGATTTTTCTGGCTTTTATGGAATTGTTGGTGCTAGGGACTCTATAGCAATTGTTTATTAGAGTAAAAGAAGTGAAATGAGACGTACCAGGGTCAAATCCAAGGTGGAGTATTTTGGGTATGAGAGTTTCGATGAATTCGACAAAATTGCTCGAATAGGCCAAACCAAGCAACGTACAAATCTTGACCTACCAACATTTTTCTTCTTTTTTTACGACTAGAAAGAAGAAACATAAGCCAGAACTAAGCAAACAACTTTTACCAATAAAAAATCAGAAAGCGACATTTTGCCGCTTCATTAGTCAAATTTAGAAAAATGCAAATATCTCAGGTTCTATTTGAGCTAGCCAACTTTCCTTTGAGGGTTGATAGGTCCTAGTGATACCTATTGAACCCACAAAGTTTGAACCGAATCCGTGACCCAATCCCAGATCTCGGTCCACCTTGGGGTGGAGTTACTCCTGGGATATTTCGCGATGTTAGGTTCTTAAGTAACCGGTCGTTTTCGCCCGCCAAACCAACATTTTTCGTGCCCTTGACGCGCGTAATTCAAACTTACGCGCCGCATGGGAACCAATGAGAGGCGAGAAACTTCGCACTTTTCCCGGGTGAAACATTTTTGCACTTACAAGTGCACTCACTCACCGACTTAGCACTTTTGGGTCCATTTTCGCACTTAGAAGTGCAAACAAGCGCTGATTGCACCGTCGAGAGTGATTTTGGCAGTTCGCACTGGCGAAGTGCGAATTTAGCACTGTCGGGAGTGAAATTTGGAAGGGAACTTTTTAGTGAGTGGGAAAACCAGGAACCGCTTTTACCGTGTAGGGAAGGCCCCCCGGCCGGCGTGCAGGGCAGTCTGGCCGCTCGGCGTTCCGCTCGGCGTTCTTCGGCGTGCCTCGGCCTTGCGTCCGCTTGCGTCCCATCGTCCATCCCAATTGCGGGCTGATCAAGTTTGGCCGATCGGCGATCGCCATCGAAATTGATCGGGCGGCGCTTCCTGGCGCCCATGGCTGCCCATGGCTGCCCATGGCGGACGGACGGGACCCCCCAGGAACAACACAAAACAGCCTTTGCGGCGAGCGTCAATGTCGGCGCTGTTTGCGCTAAACGGGCTTCCCAGAAAGTAGGCCGGCAGTGGAAATCCGATCCACTATAACCACAGCGACTGTCATTGCCGTTTCGAAGCCGTGTTTTTTGCTTGCGAGCTTCATCGAATGGTGGTTGCGGCTGCACTACGCCGCCGCCCCCAGCCACAGCCACAGCGAGGCAGCAAATCGGGCTCGCTCCCACCGGGGACGGCCCGTTTGGTAAATAGTGCAGGCGCGTACTACTCCACCGAGTTAGCCCATGTTGATAGCTTCGGCAAACAGCCGCGCCCACACGTTTCTTTGAGAACCACGCAAAGGGACTGGGTCAGGCGTGTTCGGAAAACAGAGTTTTCAGCTCGCAGAACAAAACGGTGTAAGTTAAGTAAAAATCGTGGTGAAAAGAAAGTGTTTGGCATTATTTTTTGTGACCTCGATGCATTAGTGGAAATTCTCGAAGGTGCCGTCGCCAAGTGCATCATGACCGCCCTCATTGGTTTGACACTGCATGCAGTGCACCAACCGACTTGGCCGTAACGCGTTACGCCAATTGAAGCGAAGCCGCGCCAAGCGGCGAGCCAAGCGGCCTCGACGAGACAGCCTCGCCGGCCGCGACGAGCGCACCAACCCTCTGCCGACTGCGCGAGCGGCAGGTGGCGGGACTGTTCGCGCGAAGCGATTTGGGTGTCAAAGGTTACAAAACTTGAGCCTCGAATTAATGAAAGAACATGCAGCCCATGCCGTCACGAAACGTAAGGTCGCCACTTGGCCTCGCACCCTGGCGTCGCGACCCAGCGACCTCCGCGACCTCCCGTGTGCGCGGCACCCCAAGGCACCCCAAGGCACCCCGACGGCCCCGCGGGGGGTGCTGGCGATGCTGGCCGACCCCAATGACTGTCGTTCGGCCACTCGCAGCGACTCGCAGCGTGGCGGCCGAAATCGCCAAATGAGGCGCACTGCTGGCCTTTTGTCGGGGCGTCGGCCGCGGCCTCACCCCGCCCTCTTCCACGTCATCACCCTGCAGGCCGCGGCGTGCCAGGCGTGCCGCCCTCCCCGACCGCACGCTGGGGTTTACTCTGCGGCTACTTGGCTGGCTGGTGTTCGCGGACATCTGTTTGCGCGGCCGCGGGAGTGTTTGCCCCGCAGTGTAGCGATCGCACTGCCATTGTAAACACGCGGGGATTGGACCGCTGGGAGGGCGATTGCGCGTGCCACTCGTACCTTTGCCGAGGCCATCATGGCGGTATGAAAAATGGATCGGCGCCAAGGTCCTTCCTGGGGCCGTGATGAAGGGCCGGCGTGGTCCGCACTCCGCACCGCCCGGCACGGCACAGACGCGAACCCACTTTACAATCTCCCCGACGTCAAATCGAGTTACGGGCGTCCGCCTCAAAGAATGCGCATCCAGGCGGCGGGCCGGCGGGGCAGCAGCCTCATAAGACATTAAACGATTCCTCTGTAATTCGCCGGGAGGCGCCGCGCAGACGAAATGGAATAACGCACTGCAAAGTAAGGGGTGTCCGAGGCGGGCTGCCCGTCCGGGCGGGGCGGGGCGAGGCGGGGCGGGGCGGCCGCTCTGACCTTACAGCCCCTCCCAGGCGCAACTCCCAGGGCCGAGGGCCAAGGAAGGAAATTTGCACTCGGCCGAACCGCAAAAATACTATTGCCTGTGGAACTTGCCTTGCCTTGGTTCATTGTGATGAAAGCGTTTTTCATGCTGTCCTGCCTGTGTTCCAGGTCTCTGGGGTTCCCAGGATGTTCCTGCAGGGCTTTTGCTGCCCACAGCCCGTGGACCCCCGCATCAGCTACGGCACCCAGTCCAACCCCTGTAAGTACTGCAGCCCTGCGTTGCGGCTGGTTGCGGCGGCCCGGTGCCCGGCCTGCCCGGCGGCGGCCCGGGGAATCATACCGTCGTGATGCAAATTGCTGCTATCAGGATCCAGAATAAAACGGCGTCGAACAAGCTGCAGCCTCGCGGCCAGCCCGCCCCGCTCTCCCCGCCCTCCCCCCGGGCCGCCCCCCGGGACGCGCGACCCCTGGGAGCCGAGGGGGAGGCGCAGGGAGGCGGCAGACGCGAGATTTCTTGTGCTGCGTCTAGACCGCCGGCGGGGAATCCGGGTGGACCAACTTGCAGTACGGATATCACAACGCCATGAATTAAAAGCAGAAAGCAAGAATGTTTGAGCGCATCCTAGATTCCTGCATTGCCATTCGAGTCGTCCTTCTCACAAAGCGGTCACCGGCGGTCACCGCGATTCGAGGGCGAGCGAGGCGCTCGCCGGCCTGCGTCCAACACGGAGCCCTGGCAGCATCGCGACGGGCACCGCCTGGGCGCGACGGAAAACGCGGCAAAAACACCGCCAATCCGGCCCAGCCGACGGGCAGGCGGACGGACGGGCGGACTGAGGGACGGACGGGCTTCTAGCGGGGGGAGGGAGCCAAGCCTGGCCTGGCTGCCAGGCTGGCCGTCCTCCAGGGATGGGCTGCTATTTGATTAGGCTACTCTGCCATCGGCACTCTGCAGTCCGGCCGGCCAGCAGCCAGGCAGGCAGCCAGGCAGCCAGGCAGCCCGGCCCATGATTATCTTCCCTGAGGCGTGAGCCCATTAGGGTCACGGGGCTGCGATTAGTACGCTAGTACGTGAGCAGAGGCCGCTGCGGATCAACCCTTCAGACGTGTTTGCCGACACGTCCCTCGACAGGGAGCGCTCCGAGTTTGCTTAGTACGCTCACCGACTCCGAAACCAAACGTTTTCGTAGATGCAATAACAATGTTTCCAGTTGTTGATCTTCTTTTTGAAAAATAGGCGTAACGGAGTGAGAAGATATTGGCCAAGTTTTTGGCATTTGTTTGCTCTGAGTGCGGTGGCTCCTCTGGTTCTTCGCTGCGGTGGTCACGGTCCGGTTGCTCGCGGCGCGCGTCCTCGTCCTCGCTCGCGTCACTGTCGGCCCGTTTGATCTGACTCGTCACCGGCTGGGAGCGCAGTGCGCAGCGCGCAGTGCGCAGCGAGCAGCGCGTCAGGCGGCGACAGATTAACAGTCTGACATGCCGGCTCGCTCCGAGGCCCTGCCTTGCTCTGCCTCGCTCTGCCTCGCACCCCAACACGCCGTAATCCCATCGCAGTCATTAGGGCGGGATCAGCCCGACAAGTGTCCGGTCTCGTCTTGCTGCTGCCTGGCTGTTGCCCACGCCAGACACTCGGACGCCTTTCAACCATCACGGTTAATAAACCGGGGACACCATCGAAGAATTTGAGTAAAGGTATTGCTAGAGCGCACATCCGACTTCTCGTCCCGTGACTTTTCATTTCTGAATGCTGTGTTGCTTCCGGCAGTCGCTCCATCGCCGCACCTTCCGAAGTGTCCAATCTTTTCGAGACTCCCTGCTCCCCGCGGCACGCAGCGGGACTGCGTGTGTGCTGCGCCCCTCCGCGCCACTCGGCGAGGCGACCGCAGGGGACGCCGGGGACGGGCCCGAGAGACAACAGGTCCTGATAGAATTATCCGGTTTATTCAATGGACACAAGCACCGGGCGGGGGGGCATAGTGGACTGGGGCAAAGAACATGCGCTCTCCGCGCGGAAACTTTGAGGAAGCCGCGCAAGGTGCGTTCGCAAAGACGACTCCGACAGAAGGCTGTACCCCGTGAAACTGTGCACTGGTTCTGAAACCGATGGGGAGGCGCTCGGTGTGACGTGCGTCCTCGGGGCGGGGTGCGTTGAAATGGATGTGTGGAGGGTGGGTGGAGGGTGCGAGGAAAGGGTAGCGGGGAGTGCTGCCGGCCCGGCATTCGCCATTCCGTTTGATCGGTAATGGACCCTCATAACAGGTTGCGCACTGGTTTTCCAGGATAGGGTTGCGGGTCCCACATTTTGCCGTGTGGCGCCGCCACGCACGCATTGATTCAAACCAGATTAGCGCGACGATCGATATGATGAGGCTCGATATTAATTCAAAGTGGGAGTAGGGGGATCTGTCGCGCCGCGTGATATTACTGCAACAGCCACTGGGCCTGGGAGTCTGCCACGCCTCTGACTCATTTCATGGCACGACCGAAATGCACACGTGATCTGCTCACAGAGGAGATCGGTAACCTGGGGTGTCCATACTACTCACATAAGAAGAATGGACCTGTGGCCTGGGGGGTTCCATACTACTCCGAAGAGATAGGTAATCTGCGGGGCCTATGCTACTCACCAAAGTAGAACCTGGGGGTCCATACTACTCACAGAATAGATCGGTAACTTGGAGAGTCCATACTACTCCAAATATGAGTAGGTCACTGACCTGGGGAGTCCATACCACTCAGAGACCAGATAGGTAACCTGAGGCGTCCATAGTCCATACTACTCACTAACCAACAGAGGTCAGTGACCCGGGGGGCCCATACCACACATTACTTGCAGCAACACCCTCGCCCCCCTGTGCGCCACCAAACGGCCTGCCCGTGCCGAGCAGTGCCGCGCTGTACGGCCAATCTGCGGGGCGCGTACACTGCACGCCGGCCGCAACGCCACGCCGTATCACGCGGATTAGTTATAATAATTGCTCTGCAAATTATTTAAGGGCCAAACGAGGCGAAGAGCGGTTTATAATGTGCACGGCTTTTGTTGCCTGAATATTTGATGTCAGAAAGTGGGACGGAGACGGGCGAGGCCGGGGCGAGGCTGAGGCCCGGGAGCGAGCGAGAGCCCAGAGCGACCTCTAATGGAAGCTCAGACAGACACAAGGCGGAGAAGCGAGGGAGCGAGTGAGAGAGAGGCAGAGAAAGGGAGAGAAGGGGTTGAGAGCCGGCGGTAGCAACCCAAGCCACTGCGCCCCCCAGCACAATAAATTAAACGGAAAAGCATCATTCTATGAAAACGCAATTTCCGCTACGCTAAAAGATGGCCTAAGCGCGTTACGTCCATTTGCGGCGTCTAGTGCAAAGCCCCGCCCAGCGCGCTGTGTTGTGTGCGTGTGTGTGTGTATGTGTGCGCGCGCGCGCGTGTGTGTGTGTGTTCAAATGAAGTGCTCGGCCGCAGTAAGTGGCTTTAAAGTAATTGCCGGGCAGCATTTTAATTGGGGCTGTTTCCCTCGGGGCCGTGCTAGATGAGGATATACCTAGAACGCTCGCGAAAAAGGAAGAAAACAATTTACTTCTGGATGGAAATGTTATGTTAATTATTATTTATTTCCATATTATTTTATGTACAAAGTACAATTACTTAGCGCTGGCAAATAAATTCAAGAGCATATCCCTCCAACAAAATTATTTTGCTGCAGAGGCCGACCATGGAGGCGTGGTTGCCAGAGCATTTTGGCAATCCTAATTAGTTTGAGCAGCTCGCCACGCGGGCCTAGTCAAAGGCCGGGCAGTTTGCATCGTTTTCCCTTTCTACTTCGGCCAATAGTACGATGCGAAGCGCCTTTTCTGCATCTCATTGCCGTGGTCGGTCCGCGGCCTCCAACCGTCATTCTAACGAGCAGGTTCTCATGGATGTACTGGCACTAATGCTTAAGAAAGAAGAGGGCATAGGTGAAACTGCCAGTCAAAGAATTCACTCTGAGCAGCTCAAACGAGTGTTTGATACCATTGTACCATGTTGCAGACTCGACGTACGAGGGATACCCGCAGGCCATCCACGACGACCACTTCCACACCTACAGACGCAAGCAGCGACGGAACCGTACCACATTCAGCGCCGAACAGGTACCAGAAGATTTTAAACAAAGTGCAACCGTCACGCCATTTGTTGTGTATCGTAGCCATGTTGCGAACTGCGGCGCCTCCTGATGGAGTTGTTCCATGTTCCAGCTGAAGGAGCTGGAGAGGGCGTTCACCATGACCCACTACCCCGACGTCTTCGTTCGGGAAGCGCTGGCCAACAAGATCAACTTGACGGAGGCGCGAGTGCAGGTGAGTTTGCAGTGGGGGTACTTTTGGAGGAGGGACGTCAGGGGGTGTGGGGGTTCCGCACCCCCTGATCAGAGCCGCAGAGGTCGGCAGCGCCCCCGCAGCACCGCACGCGAGTAAGCTTATAACTCAATCAGCTGGTGGGGGTCCGCACGCCACTCGAAGTGGGGAGGAGAAAGCTTACCGCTCACTCGCGACCATTAGCGCCAGTCGACATGCCGTGAGATTCACCCGAACAACATGAGGTCAGTCGCAGGCCTCGAGGGGGTGCGGTGCTGTCGTTTGCGTCGTCCTCTGGAGGGTGGCAAGCCGCCAGGGTCTTTCTTTGCTCCTGTAAGAAGAGTACTCTGCAAAATCACCTCCTGTTATCCGCCCTTGGTTGCGGTAAATACTAGGCGGCAGTAGCACCTGGTGTGCCTTGATATGCTCCTTGAGAAGCCGCCATGCTAGAACGCGGGTGCAACAATTCCACGTCACGTCCTGCGGTGGAGTGGGTTTGCGCCGATACCCTGAGCTGATGCGACTTACACCTCGTAACAGCATCACTAAGTCATAAGGCAGCACGGAGCATGAACCCCGTTACACGCACTAGCCGACTAATCCCCAAAACTCGGGGAGGCGGCGCCGAGGCACGCCGCACGCCGCTGAAGCACGCTGAAGCACGCCAAAGCACGCTGAAGCACGCCGATCCGATTGGCCACGAAATCAGACTAGTTTCGCTGGACCGCGTGCGTTGCACACTCCCCCACCGGCAAGGCGGAGAAACAACAAGAACAGCAGCAAGCGCGTGGACGGGGTCGGGCCGAGAGAGGCCATGAAAAGGGAATTTGTGAGAAGTGTCGGAACGGAATCCTGAATGGATACTCGATTTGGAAGCCGCTGGGACGGCGTGGGACGGTGGGAGAGGGGGAGACGGGTCGAGACGGAGGGCGCCTCTGCCTCGGTGGGGCGAAGGCGCATCCGTGCGGCCCGGCGTGGCCTTCGAAAGGAACAACAAGCCATTCGATGGAACGAAATCGCCGGCAAGCGAGAAACCTGCGCAGGCGTTTCTCTTGGTCCCGCCGTCCTGGTTCCTGGTTCCCACGTCGCGCGGTGCAGTGGCGGCATTGCTGTTTGGCACGGTAATTGCAAAGCACTCGGCGAGACGACGCGCCCACGCTTGCGTCGCTTGTCACATTTCCACTTTTCCACTTTTCAATTTCCCGGAGGCCGGCCGCGCCAGTCAGGAAGCCGCCTCCTTCAGGCGGACCGTCGGCCTCCGATGTCACCAGTCTCGGCTCCCTAACCAAATTCCCCGCGAGGGGCGCGGCGTGTGTTCGTGCCCTAACCTTGTAACTCGACCTGTCCTCAGTCACGGCGACGCGGCGTCGCGACGCAGTGGGACGCGCCGCGCCGCGCGGCCACCCGCCTCGAGCACCGGGCACTTGGTGTCGTCCTCACGCGCGCACGCGACCGCCACGCGGCCGCCGCGTGCAGGACCACCGTGCCGGGCGTGGCCGGGCGGCGATACCCCTCGCGTCTCTCCACGACGCCGGGATCCGCGAGGCGTTTAGCGGCCGAGCGTGTGGAAGTACACGGAGCCCTTTATTGCCGCAATTTCCGGCAAAAATAATAGCGGGGGAGGACGACGCCAAGCGAGGCAAGCGAGGGAAAGCGAGGCGAGGCGTGCGCGCTTTGTTCGAGCTTCTGTTTTCCTCGGTGAATGAGGCGGGCGTCACCGCGGGGAGCTCGAGGACGCACGCTGCCGAGGAGTCGCGGCGCGGCGCCACTTCCCCGAAGCTTCTGCTTCTTCCACCGACGCGTAAGGGTTAGGCCGGCCGGAGCTGTTTGGAAGAAAGAATCATTTGGATGCAAATGCGGCAAACGAGCCCATCATCGCGGCCATGATGAGGCTCCTGGCGACGTCGCCGAGGCCGCGGTGACGCAGTGACCCAGTGGCGAGCCAGAAGGGGACAATAGCCACCAGCACATTAAATATGTAGGGTACTCGAAATCGCATTATCACCCTATTCGGCGAGGGTAGGGCAGGGCGAGGGAACGGTGGGAGGGAGGGAGGGTCGGCCGCCTCGGGAGGAGTGGCTCCAGGGGATGAGGCTTGTCACAACCTAATGACGATAAATTTACTCACAGTTTCAATCTTGGTTGGATTCCACTCGGATCCCCTCGTTATATGAGGAAAAGCTACTTTTAAAAATTGAGAGTGTCTCCAGGAATCACCCCGGGGGCCGCGGTAAGCCCCCTGGCTGGCTGCGGCGCCCACCCTCGCCGGATGTCGTGGAGGCCGAGGCGGCGCGGCCATATATCCAGGAGCAACGGATTACGCGAGACTCGCCGTGCTTCTTCCTTGTCTTTGGCATTGACTCTAATGCTGGCTGTTATCACGGCCGCCACGATGGCGACCAGGCACGGCCAGCACACTGCAGGGAGCGCGGACAGCGGGAGTCTTTAGCCTGAACGGGCAAAGGTAGAAAAAGGGCTAAAACGTATCTAAAAAGTTGAATTTCAAATGTAACTTGTTCAATATGGCAAAATTGTTCTAGTTCCCACATTCCAGCAGCGCCCAGCGTCATGGGTGACAGCGGAAACATTCGAGCGCGAAATGTGAATAACAACTGTGGCGTGTTCGCGTGGCTTCGCGCCAGCCGATTAGCTCGCTGTATCGGGCGACCGCAGTGTGCCGCGCAGCCCTGACAATGAGTGGGTAATGACGTGGCGAATCAATCCCCAGTCGCCCTCTCCCTCGCACTCGGCAAAGGCCCGTCCCGGTGCGAGGGCGGCAGCAAGCAGCCGCGGGGGGCGCCGCATCGCGCCGCGCTACCAGGGTGTCATTCGATGATGGCAGTTGTTTCACGCTGCGAAGGAACGCGTCGGGCCATGCTGTTGGTTTTAGTGTTGTTTATTGTCCTGATGACACGCGGGGGATTTGGGCAATACTGCGAGGTCGGGTGGCGGAGTCCTGGGGGATGCCCCACTTGGCTCCCGTGAGGAGTGTCGCGAGGAAAATTTGGTCTATCTTTCAACAATGAAGTTCAAAGTATGAGAGACATCTGACTAATTTCGGGTGATACGGAGACTTATCACCGATAAAGGGTGACCCATCAAGGTATGTCTGAAAAAAGGTCAGACATCAGCGAGACTGGCCCTTGCTTTCCTTGAAGAAATATTCCCCTTCGTTGAGCGTTGATTGCGCACCGCGTCGCACCGCGCGCGGCACCCAAGGGGTACCAAACTCAAGATAATCATTGCACGTAGCTGGTAATCAGTGAAATAATCAACATTGTCCGATAAAATCACAAACATACTTTTGGGGATTCAATCACTTTTGACCATTTTTGCGAGGGCACTGCTCACAAACTATCAGCGGTCAAAGCCTTCCCGAGGCAGGGCATGAAAGAGTACGGTCTTAAGAATACTAGCGCGTTGAGGGAGGCCTTTGACCGCAACTAAATTGGACGCAGTGGCGGCCCAAAGTCAGCAAAATTTGATTTCCGACACTCAAACAGCTTTCTGAGGTCGGCGCTCAAGCAATCCCCAAACTTGACCAATAAACAACATAATCTCTTATGATCTCCTGTGATCAGTGATAAATAATAAAAGAATCAAAAGAAACCACATGTAATGCTACTCAGTGTTCGTCAGTGTACGTGAAAATCTTGAGTTTGTTACCCCTTGGTTGCACCTGCCGTGCTGGACGAACCGCGCCTCAGGCAGCACTGCGTTATAACTCTTTCATAGCCCGCCACCGCAAGCGCGCCAGGGGGTGAGCGCTAAGCGGTTTCATTCATTGGCCTGTAAAGCAAGCTCCTGTGCATGTGTTCGTGTGTGTGTGTGTGTGTGTGTTTACGGGTGAGTCGTGCTGACGCGTCCCACCAGCGCTGAACAAAAGCCACCTGAGTGGCTCGCATAAGAGTGTGTGTTTTTGCGCATGTTACTTCTTTCTGCATGCCCCCTGGATCTCGCAGAACGATTATACGGGACGCAACAACGGAAACGGGCAGAAACACTTATTCGTTGGGAAGCACCGCCGGCCGACGGTCTGATGAAAAGACTCCCTTGGGTGAGAAAAGCAGCGGTTCGAGGCTCGCGGCCAGCAGGTTGTGTGTGATGGGAGCACAGCCTCACACAGTCACTGAAACGAAACTCCACTGCAGTCGCAACTAGCAACCAAAATTAAGACAAATTTATTTCCCCAAAAATATTATGAAAGAGGCAAGGTGGGTAACGAATTGGAATTGAGATCCGCGTGTCAGCCGGCATTGTAATTCTTTTTATTGCAAACAACATGGCGCTGTGCTCTTCTAGCCCGGGGCGGGGGCGGCGGGGGCGGCGGGGGGCGGGGTAGCGACATCGCAGACATCGTCACACATGCATGAGCTCCTCAATCTTGTTGCTTTGTGGGATTCACGCGGGGCTCGGCTCGGCTGGGCTCGACGGGGACTAACAAGCAAACGAGGTTCGGGACCGGCGCCGCCTCCCCCCGCCCCACCCCGCCCCACCCGCCCGGTGTCGGCGCGGCACACTACGGTTCAATTAAGGGTGCTGCCGGCTTTCTGCCTTCCGATTCGTTTCCGGTGGCGTTGGAACAACGGCAACCCGCACCAAACCAACAAAATATTTTCAGGCTTTGCAAAGGCAAATTCTTTCGGGAGTCTGGCAACTTATATTTTTTCCGTGATGGTGACGGTTGAAGACTGCGTTCCGAATCTGCCGCTTTGCGAACCACTGCCGACGCGGCAGTAGTTACCTCCCGCCAGACTCGCCTCGGCCCTCGGCCTGGCCTGCGCTCGGCTGCCCCACTCGAAAACAATGCCGGCGTCCAGTCCGCGGCGCGCGCGCAATTTTGACAGCTGCTCCTTGAGGTGGTCCTCTGGCCCTCGGCGAGGGCGTCCTCTCCGTGCCTCGCCGCCTCCACTTGCACATCGACGCGACGACCGTGCTAATGAGCTAGGCCAGCCCGGCCAGCAGTGCGACAAAGAGGAGCAAACTGCAGTGCCTGCAAATCCATGCCGTGTCTGCGGCATCGCAGCAGCCAAGCCGCGGCGCGGGCAGCCGATCGGGGATGGGAAACGGGAACGGCTGGGCGAACGGCCTGGCTCCGCGAGACTGGGGTACTCGCACGGCACAGGGACTGCAGTGTAGCGGTCCACAGCACGGCGTCCCGGGCGTGACAATGGAATCTTGACGGCTGGGCGCGCCGGGCCAGGCCGGGCGCTAACAAACAGCAAACAACGACAAGCCCCCTTTAATCGCACATTTGGCTCGTGTTTACTTCTCTTTAGAGAAGCAAAAGCAAGTTTCGCTCGACAATGCGACGCCGAGTGGGGTTGGATGGCGACTCTATTTTTGCGTCTAATTGCCCGTCCGAGTCGGGGTGGGGGGAGGAGGGGGATCCAGCGCCTGGGGTGGAGCGTCACAGCGGGACACGCACGCACGCGTGCCAAACAATGCGTGCGGAGTACTCTTTCTTATTGTTTCGCGTCCAGCGGCTCTTCGTCGTCGCAGCGCCGCGCGGGAACCTCTGCGGAAACCGACGCCAAGTTTCGCCACTCCGAGCAGAGCCAGACGGAGCCAGAACGCCCAGAATGGTCGGAAACAGCAGGAAAACAGAGGTGGCCTGGAGACGCGCGTGGTGCGCGGTGGAGTCGTCCGTTGCGACTCATTTCACGGCTAATTGGATCTCTACTCGTCGGGCTCGTCGGCGCCCCGAGCGAGTGGGGCAGGCAGGGCAGGCAGGGCAGGGCGTCCACGGGGCCGTGCCGCGCCGCGCCGGGGCTGCCTCGAGTGCTGGGGTGGAGCGCCGTCTCAGAGGCACGCCGCACCGCACCGTGCCGCACAGTCTGCAGAGATCACTCACTCCGTGTGTTTCGGCGCGACAACACAGCATTAAGGTGGATCCGCCGGCCGTGCCGGGCCACGCTCGGCGCCAAGGCGTGCCAAGGCGTCCCACGGCGTGCCGAGGCCGGCAGGAGTGGTGCTCGAGCCTCGCCGCCTGCGCCGAGGCCGCCACCGCCCCCGGGGACCGCTAATAAGACAACTGGGATGGCCAGGCCAGGCCAGGGCCAGGCCGGGGCCTGGGTGGTTGGTTCCACCCGAAAGTAACACGCCGTCTCTCTGTTGGCAGGTTTGGTTCCAGAACCGGCGCGCCAAGTTCCGCAAGAACGAGAAGGTGAAGGACGCGCTGCGGCGAGAGGAGGACGGCAAGGACGACCAGAAGGACGACAAGGTAATAGGCTGCCGCCACATAGTGCCGCCACACAGTGCCGCCAGTGCCTCGCATCCAACATGCACGCCGTCTCGCGTGGCGCGACTCGCGCGGGCTGACGGCATAAAGCGCTTTACGGCGGCCAGGCAGGCAGCCAGGCAGGCAGGCAGGCAGGCAGGCACCAGCCAGCGACACACGGCGCAGCCCGGCCAGGCGCAGCAGCAGCAGCGGGCCGCCTATCAAATTTGAATGGCAAATGCAACAATAAAACACACCGTTTGAAGCGCGCTTTCTTCCTGCTTGTGTCGCTGCTTTTCTTTGGCTGGTGCATTATGGATGCGCGCTCGGCTCGCTGGGCTCGCTGGGGGGCTCCGCCCGCCCGGCGCCGCCCCCACGCCGCCTTGGGTCCGCCTTGCGTCCGCGGAGCGCGGCCGGGTTATTATATTGCGGGCACAGGCAACGGCGCCTTGTTCGTCGCCACGACGGCAAAGAGTGCGGACTAAAAAATGGAAGTCGCCAGCTTTATGACTTATTGCTCGCCATAGGCGAATTAAAGATTAATGTCCGAAGGCGGCAAAGGCGCCGAAGGCATCCGCAAAGTGAGACCGTGCTGTGCCGCAGATGGAGGTTGACGGCGAGCGCAGCGTGGCCGGGGACTCCGAGGCCGCCGACGACGGCGTGGACGTGGCGGTCGACGCGGAGGGCGCGGCGCGGCCGCCGTCCAGCACGCGCACGCCCCTGCCGCCCGACAGCAGCTCGTCGCCGCACAGCGACCAGGTGACCGAGGTGCAGGTCCGCGTCGACACCAGGGTGCGCTCCGTCGAGGAGCACCTGCACCACGACGTCAAGGCAGCGCGCGGCCACCACGACCTGGACGCAAGCAGGAGGTCCAGGAGTGTCAGGTAACAGCAGCGACATGCCGAATCGAAACCGAAAGTGTGGTGAATTGCCTGGCGTGATTGGTTTGATCGCTCTGCAGCCGGTCCCCCGAGCCGATTCGGCCCTCCAGCGCGCCGGGCGAGGCCGAGGCCAGCGCCTCCCCGCCCACCGAGGCCGAGGCCCGCGGACTGGCCGAGCCCACGACGTCCTCCCCCGAGGCCTCGGGCACGCTCTCGAGGTCCCCGCAAGCCCACAACTTCCATCACCTGTTCCAGAGCTTCCCTGAAGGGTGAGTGCCAGGTATCTCATTTCCGCTGCAGTTGGTGACACGATACGGGCACCATGCGACTTCAGTTGTCTCCAACGGGTGAGTGTGTGAAAGAAGAGGAAGGTATGGAGGACCAGCGGTAAGAGACGATGAATGATGTAGAGGAGCCATGAAAAGGAAGGGTGCGCTGCCTGGGAGAATGGCAGACTGCGAGTCCAGGAAGAGGTTCGGTGCGGATGAAAAGTTGATCATTGCCGATCTGGCAAGTTGGAGGATGTGCTGCGGCGTTGCGGCGCGGCCGCCGCTCACCTGTGCCGCGCCGAGGCGGAGGCGTGGCGGAGGCGAGCGCAGAGGCGGCCTCCTTTAGAGGATTACTTTCCTAACTTGGTTACTCTTTTTTTATCCCATTTCCGTCTGTGGTAACGTAATTTCTCAAACTTTCCCTTCTATCAAAAATTCATCTACGTTTTAAAAGTTTTTATCAACCTTGTCCCGTGCGCCGCACGGCGCCGCGCCGCGCTCCTGGCTCCGGGCGACTCCCTGCCTTATTGGTGACTGCTACGGTAGATTTTATTACCATATTTTGCCTCGCCAAGACTTTAAATTACAAATTCGCAAAGTGATTATTTTTTTTTTTTGCCGCGCTGGTAGTGCATTTGAAGGCGGGCAGGACGCATGCTAAGAGGCTGGACCCGACGGGGCCGACCGGGCCGACCGCACTCCAAGGCGCCGGCATTAGAATCGCAAAAAAGAAAACGCCTCAAACACAACGCCACGTTCGGTCCGATTCAGCCGCACCGACATACTTAGCGCGCCCGTCTCACTTCCCGGAGCGGACGCCGCGGCGACGCGCGCTTCAGCGCTGCGGTGTAGCGCCCCAGCGCCCGACACGATGACGAATTTCTCATCAGCAATCGCACAAGCGCGGCCTTAACGAGGTACAGCGATGGCCGCCGCCACGGCTGCGCCTAGCTTGGGCTGGCTGAGCCTAGCTTGGGCCTGGCTGGGGCCTCGAGAACCGCCATTACGCTTTGGCCAATTGTTTTAATTGTTGTCCGCAATGTTATGGCGCCAACTAACCGAGTGATGCGAGGAGGGGCGGCGGAGGCAGGCAGACCGAGGCAGACATGGCGGAGTGGGAGGCCGCCAGCCCCGCCGGCCCCGCCAGGCCCGCCCCCAGGCCGCGCCGCCACCCCACGCCCATCCCCGCCCCAACCTGCCCGCCCGCCCGCCTGCCTGCCCGGCCGTCTTGGCCGAGGGCTGGCGGCCGCAGCACTGAATTAGTTGCTGCAAATGAAGTTGGTGTAGTGTAGTGAGATCGCAGCTTCCCTCTGCATCCTCTGCCCCTCGCCTCCGTCCCCCTTCCCCCTCTCTCACTGCTCTCTCCCGCCTCCTCTTCTGTCATGTCCTCTCTTCCGCCACTGTCGACCAGCCAAGGTGCTGGCTGGCGTTCTCGGCACAGCGTGCTCCAGGCAGCCTCCTCCAGGCCGCGTCCCTGCACAGTCCCTGCACAGTCCGCGGACAGTCCCTGGACACTGGCCAGGCCCTCGGTAAAATAGTGCCCGGAAGCTCGCGACTCGACTTGCCTCGCGTCATTAGCTTCCGGAAGTGGCCGCCAGGGTGCGCGATAGGGGCGGCGCCACTTCCGAGTGCGACAACGTCCAAGCGGGAAAAAACAGGAACCTTAGGAAAAATCTTGACATATTTTTTTTCGTGATTTTTTTTTTTTTTTGCATGGTGATGTTATTGTGAATGAGATTCTGAACGTAGCCGTAAAATAAAATGGGACTGGAATGAAAAGATGATAACTCCGGTCTGTGAGGGGAACCGAATTTACGGGGAAATAATAACCACCGAATCAGCGTAAGCATTGAGGGATGTACTCATTCTGTTTTTAAAAAAACGACATACGCGAAAAAAGGACTTCTAGCCGAACGAAGAGCGTTCCAAACGTACGCGACGTATAACGATGGAAAGGGAATCGGCAGAAAACACTCTCTCTCTCTCTCTCTCTCTCTCTCTCTCTCTCTCTCTCTCTCTCTCTCTCTCATACACACACGCACACACCATCGGGTGGGCTGCGTTGGAATCGTTGGTACTAAAACTGGCCGCAAAGTTCCTCTCCTCTGTCCGTAAATTGAATCGGCCCGCCTTTTTTTATTTTGTTCTCGTTCCTTCCGCACATAATTCCCTTTCCACTGAAAATACCATCGCAGAGAGCAGCAAAAGCGAGGCAACCCGATGATGTTCCGAACCTATCACACCCTCTGGCTGTGGCGCGCTGTGGCGTGGGGGAGGGGGCCGAGGCGGGCTGACGAGGTTACCGCGCGGGGAAAGGGGTTTGGAGTCGGTACACACGCGCTGCCCAATGAACGCAAATAAAATGGAATATGAAACGATATTATGTCGAACATTTGCGTTTGATATGCTGATGAGCGTTGTGTTGTACCTAACGCGATGAGGCTCCACCGAATTAGGCAGCATTAAGCCCGTTGCCGGCCGGCCGAGGCCGACTCCAGGTCTTGCTGCTCCGCGGCGAGTGGCCGACCGCTCCAGTGACGTGTTCAAATTGGGTGGGTCCTATGAACAAAGACCGATGTCCTTTGGGTCGCTTGAACAAAGAGCGACCTCCATTTCCTAATTTCTCAACGCGATCATTTTGAAGTCCCAGAACAATCATCACGTTTTTATTCTGAGTTTTTAAATGAGTTTCAGATAATCATTCTCATTTCAAACAAAACCTGCAAACCATGATTTGACTTGGATGTCCATTCCAAGAACCACAAGGAGAAGAAATGGCGAATGCAGAATCGTCCGAAATGGAGATCGGTCTTTGTTGGAGCGACCCGAAGGAGATAGGTGCTTGTTCGAGCGACCCAGAGGGCATCGGTCTTTGTTGAAAGGACCCGTCGAAATGCGCGTTATCTCCGTTCACGGCAAAACCAACGTCCGGGTTTCCCAGGCGCACCCTGGAAAAATGCCCTGTTTTTCCAGGGTGCGCCTGGGAAACCCGGACGTTGGTTTTGCCGTGTTTAGGACAGGCGCCACCGCGCGGCCGGAGCTTTGAGCGCCTGCGGCCGTCAGGTAGGCCGTCCCGCCGAGCAGGGCCGCATCCGGGATGCCTACCTGGCGGCCAGCGGGCGCCGTCGCACAGTCGAGTCTCACCAACTGCAGAGCTGCAAACTACTAGCCATCTTGGACAGAGAATACTTCCACTTTCTTGAACTTTGCTTCGTCCCTGCCAGAGTGTTGGAAGAGTGCTTCGTCTGTGTTGCAGCGGAGGCCTGCGCTCACTGGACAGCCCGCTGCCGCCGCTGCCGCCGCTGGGACAGGCGCTGGGCCAGGCCGGCCACCGGGGCAGCCCACCATTCTTCTTCCCGCCGCACTTCGGACCGCACCTCGGCTCGCAGTTCTCCTCCCACCCGCTGGGCTTCCACGGCGTCCACGGACTCAAGGGTGAGTCTGGGCCTACACTCACTCAGTCCGCCCCGCCCCGCCCCGCCCGGCTCGCCCTACCTGCCATAACCAGGTTATTGTTTTTCAGCCGGGCCGGGCCCACCACCCCGCCCCGCCCACCCCTCAGGGTTCCACGCAAATTGGTAAAAGGAAACTTGAGAAGTACTTGGCCGGGCGGGGCGGGGCGGGGCGGGGCGGGGCGGGGCGGGCGGCCGAACTGAGGCGTTCCCCGCCCCACCGCCAGGCAGCGCCACGAGCGCGCACTGCCAGCGCTGGTTTTCATAATTCATCCACTATAATCCGGTTACCCCATCTCTCTCACAGTCATGATACAAATTTCATAGCGCATAATTCGATTCTGCAATTCCGGCCGTTGCTTACACACGGCACCTCTCAAGTCGCAGCTGAGGCGCCTGGCGGCTGCGAGTGGCACTAAAGGGGAAGGGAGGGGGCAGGGCCGGGCAGAGCGCAGAGCCCAGGCCGAGCCGTGACGCCAGAGTGAGGTCAGCAAACCGAATTAGCCACTCCACGTCAAGCGTGTTGCGATGGCAGCATCAAGTTGACTCGACTCCCAGTTAAAGAAGTCCTTCCACACGCAGCCTTCAGCCAGAGGCAGCCAGAGACAGCCAGAGGGCCCAGCGTCCGTCCGAGGGTTGGACCGTCGGTTCGTCAGCCAATTTTAGTAATTGCGCTTAAGAACCATTCACACTGTTCCTCCAGAGGCCCTCCGAGTTCTGGCGGGACCCTTGTCTCCCTGTCCGGTACGAGTTCCACGAATCTCAATTCCACAGATCGACGGATAATTTTGACCACCGATGAAAAACTCCTTGAAAACGGCCTTGATGCTCAACCAGTTTCGAGGAAGGTGCGCAGTGCAAACGGCCGGGTTCTGCGGTTCGATTTGACGCGTCAATAAGTGGTGCGTAGCCAGCCACGCGGGGCGCGGTGGGGCGGGGCGGGGCGGGGCGGGGCGCGGCGGGGTGCGGCGACTTTGAGCAGGGGAGGCCTCCCTTCCCAGCCCTCCCGGCCCGCACGCAGGTCCGCAGAGACCAGCAGAAAGAGGCCGAGTGATGGATGCAATAAGCGGTAGTGAAACTGAACACCGCCACGGCACCGCGCATTACATTAAAGTGTAATTCTCTGAGCCGCCTCCAGCGCGGCTTCACTTTATTTCGCCGCAAAGTGGATGGATGCATCACGGCGACGTACTGCACCACCGCACTCGGAGGCCGCTAGCCGACGCCGTCCCGGCGGCAAGTCGCTAGGCCCGCCAACAACGCCGTGGCAATCGCGGCGAGGGACGGCCTGCGGTGTTGCTCGCGACAGGTTGGGGTGGGCCGCGCCGGCAGGGCTGGGGCACAGCCTAGCCGCCCAGAGCGAGACGAGAATTTATGATAATATGGGTCGGACGAGCTGCCGCCATGGTTTCCGCCGGCAACCCACCGCGCCGCCGTGCTCCGAGGTGCGTTCTATTGCGTTACGCGGCTAGATTACATTGTGCTGCCCCGCCTCGGCTCAGCTTGCGCGACTCCCGACCTGCCGCCTTGCTCGGCTCGGCAAAGAAAAAAGAGTGAGGCTCATCGCGCGCACCTGATGCCTGGCCTAATCGAGTGAGCGCGGCCCGACCCAAGACTGCCAAGGCCTTGGCCAAGGCCCCGTCGCGCCGCGCCGTCACTGAGCGGCCAGCCTGTCGAGGCCGGTCGAGGCCCAGGCCGTGGCGGCCCTGGCGGTCAAGGCTGGACGGGAAGACAGAGCAAACCTGACGGCTGTCTCCGGGGGGTCTAGGCCTTCGAGACACGCCCGCACTTCTTCATGTACGCGGCTTGCCGGCCGACAGTCCCTCGCTTGGCCGCGACGGGCAGCCTGGCAGCCACGGAGCCCCCCAGCCACAAATACAGGCGGGGCCCTGGGAGCCTGGAAGTCTGGAAGCAGGCACTGCCAGGCAGCCGGCGCGGCCACCAACCCTTCCTCCCCCACGGCGCGCATAAAAATGAAATTTGCCGCGCCGCTGCCTCCTCGGCTGCTCCCCGGCTGCCCCCTCCCCACCTCCCGGCTTCGGGGAATGGCAGGCGATTCCCGCCGTGTCAGGGATAAATCGGGCCGGGGCGGGCAGCGGCAGGGCAGCGCGGCGCTCACGGGGCCAGGCTCAGGCCGGGCCGATCCACCGCGAGTTCACCTGTCGGGGAGCGGCAGAGCGAGGCAGAGCGAGGCAGAGCGAGGCAGAGCGAGGCAGAGCGAGGCGCCAGCGGTGGGTTTCCAAGCACACCCCGAGCCAGGCCTGGGCCCGGCCCCGCCCTGGCCGCCTCCAAGCACTCCGTGTTTGCACATCCAGCCCGGCGCGGCCCCGCTCGGCCCAGGTGTGATGCCGGGTCGTAAGTTGATTCGCACAGCGAGGCAGCGAGAATTAATTTCCTCCTCCCCCTCCCCCTTCCTCCTCGGCGCCATCTTTCAGCAATTGTAACGCAGACTAATGGTGGTGCCTAATGGGCTGGATGAGGGCCTCTCCCCCCCTCCCCCTGCCCCCTTTCCGCAGCTCGATACGCCACCACTGGTAGGCAGAACTTGTTCTCGGGGTGCAGGTGCCAACAGCCACGCGACGACTGCCAGGCAGGCTGCCAGGCGGGCTGCCAGCGCTAACAGGGACGTCGCGGCTCGACACGGCGCGGCTCAAAGAAGCACGTCGTAAATTTCCATTTGCCGGCTGGGAATGCGGCCGGGCCTCACCTGGGACTCAGTGCGCCAGTGTGTCTGAGTGTGTGTGGGCGCGCTCACTTAGCGGATGGCTCATTAGGTTTTCCACTTGCGCGCGCCACGCGGTTTGTTGTGGCCGAGACGTGAAGCTAATTGGCGCGTTGCTCGGTGTTGCAGCCTTCCCGGGGCTGTGCGCGTGCTGCCCCATGAAGCCGCTGGGACTGCTGCCGCCGCCCACCAGCCCCACCGCCTCGCAGGGAGCGGCCCCGCCGGGCCACCAGGCCCACCAGGGCCTCCAGGGCCACCAGAGCCACCAGAGCCTCCAGGGCCACCAGCCCGACCAGGGCCGGCCGGCGGCCGCCTCGCCGGACCAGCAACGGTCGTCCTCCGTGGCGGAGCTACGGCGCAAGGCGCAGGAACACCAGGCCGCGCTGCTGCAGGTAAGGCCGCGCACAGTGGGCCAGAGGACCGGTGGGGCTGCCAAAACTCTAGACGCGTTTTGAGCTCTGGAGTCGCTAAATGGCACTCGAACCAAACGTGTGACCCCACCAATGGATTGCTCTCCGGACGATGAATCCATTGGTGGGGACGCACGTTTGGTTCGAGTTGTGTAAAGCGACTCTGACATGCAAAACTGGTTTAGAGTTTCGGCCGCCTACTGGTCTGTGCACTGTCGCATGCAACCACACTGCGTGCACGCGCCTCTCGCTGCGGCGCGGGGACTCCTCTCAACGACCACACTCTCGACCACACTCAAGAAGGCGTGCTTGTTCCCACAGAGCCTGCACACCATGGCGGCGTACCAGCTGCCGCAGCTGCCCCTGTCCGCGCTGGGCCTCTTCAACGGGTCGCTCGGCGGGTCGCTGGGCAGCTCGCTGAGCGGGTCGCTCGGAGGGTCGCTGGGACTGCAGTACTCCGCGCTGCACCGGCCCGCCGCACAGGACAGCACGTCGGCCGCCGCCACGACGCACACCCCCACTCCGGGGTCGTCGCCGCCGCTGCGGGCGTAGCGAGGCGCGGCGTGTGGAGCGGCGTGGCGGGGCGGCGCCTAAGCCGCCGCGGGTAACGCAAAAACCTTGACGCTGACAGCGTGCGGCGCCCCGGCCCCAGCCCACTTCACTTGGCTAGTTTTGGCGCCGCAAATGCGATTACTGATTGATCCGATTGGAGCTGATGGACGGGCCGGCGTGGCGGGGCGTGGCGGGGCGTGGCGTGGCGGGGCGTGGCGGGGCGTGGCGTGGCGGGCGTCGGCGAGGCTCTCATCCCTTCGCTGGCCGCGGCGGCGCCAACATCACGCCAGGGAAAGCAGCCCATCGGAGAGCAAAAAGCGTTGCACCGCGTTGCCGCGCTGAGTGCAGGCTGAGCCGCGGGCCGCGGGAATGAGGGATGTGCCGATACAACAACGGGACGGGAAATGTTTCGACCGGCTCGGCTTCGGCTCGCCATTTCCGCGTCGACTGGAGAAGCGCCTTCTTGGTTTGTTTCACCACATCGAAGCACACTTCGCCTTTTCGTGTCCATGTTTATTATTTACGATCAGATGAATACTTCTTAGTTCTTCAGACACAAAAAAGGAACTTATGTTGTGCAGGCAGATTCTTACTCTAAGGACCAAGAAGGGAAGTTCTCTCTCTTTGTAGTTGTGTTAGCACGGATTCTGCCGGGTAGACGCTGAGACCACCAGCCTCTTAAATATACCAAAGAAACCAAAATCGGGTCGAGCTGTTGCACCAGACACGGAAGACTCGCAAAGTCAGTTTAAAAGACGTGCAATTTCTTGACAACTTTCAATTATTTTGGTGTGTTAAACAAATTTTATTTGGGTGTATTTCAGCTCATTCCTGAAGTTTTGTTGACTTTAATTTTCTGAGACGATTTGTATGGTGTACACCGAAACGGCTACTTGCCTTTTCCCTCCCATTGACAAATGCTGTTTGTATGTGATATGTAGTTGTGATGAATGTTATTTATAGTTGTTATTTGTCTAACTGTTACAGTACCCAAAAGTGCTTTGGTAAATTTGCAAAGTTTTCTTGATAGTTTTCAGTCATAATTGTTAGAAATGTACCCCTACATTATGTAATAATTTATACATCCTGTGTTTAGAGAACTTCTCTTGTAACAGGAATGGAAGGTGCTTCATGCGCCTTAAGCAATTTTCTGGACCAGAATTTTCTCAGGAGAAGCGGTCATGTAGGTCATCTTGTGCTGCAGCCTTGAGGGCCCATTTATTAATAAACTAAGCTAAGCCCCAATTAGCACCATTTTTTGTGATAATAATATTCAGCTACTATAGTACTTGCTACGACCTCACCTGATTTAAAAACTCAAAATAGACAGAAATTTTTGTAGCTGCTGCGCTGTATGTCTTTGTCTACTGATGCTTTTGTTTCTGTTTGTCTCTTTAAGGAGGCCTCTGCACAAACTGTATAAAATTTATAACAAACAATACCAAAGAGAATATTAAACACAGTAAAACCAATCTTGATATGACGATATTTTATTCCTGAACCAACATCTACCTTCCCTGGGTTCCAACATGCTGGTCTGAGGGGACTAAGCATTCCCCCCACCCCACCCCACTCCCCACCACCCACCTACCTCCCACAAAAACAATCTGCGTGTAAGAAAGGAGGAAACAAATCCCACAATCTGGAATCAGAGGCACCTGCAGGTGGCAAAAATCATCCCAAACAATCCGAGACAATCGAGCAATCTGTGTACAGCAAAGTGAGGACCCCTTGAAGTGGACCACTTTACCCTGAGGGCCGGAACCGAGGTATGCGGTGAAGGGACGAAGGGAAGGGAAGACCAGACGGAGGAAGAGGAGAGGGGTGAATCACTCAGCGAGTACGAGTACAGGTGTTACACCCTACAAAACTCGTAAACTTAAAGTTTGCAAACGTTTTAAGACTTAAGCGTTTAAGACGACACACAGACCCGAATCGAGCAAAACAATTGCAAATTCATCCCTTTTTCAACTTGTGAACACATTGAGTACGGGTTAATTCGTAGTGATTGACCCGTCGAGAGGAGGTGCCGCATTCGCTGAGCCGAATCGGGGTGACCCGGTCCGGTCCCAAGTCTGCCTGGTGCTCCCTCCCCTTTCCCGAACTCCGGGCCCCTCCTCCGTCTGGACGCAGGGGACCGGTAGTGTGCTCGTTATGGACGCCTTTTCCGAGTAGCAGTCCCCAGGCAGCGTGGAGAGCCGGCCACTCGCCTTAGCTGTATTAGCTCCATCCATGGACCATAATAAAGCATTTTCAATTTTTCATTTCTCTCTTTCTCTTTCTCTCTCTCTTCCCAGCAGAAAACAGGGAATTGGGAATCACCGAGGAATCAGGAGAGCATAAAAAGGCAGCCAGATTAAGGGCGACCGGCGGACGAACAGGGCGGCCAGGGAAAGCCACTCTCGCATCGAACATTGTTGGAGCGTGCCGCGCTGGCAGCCGTTCGACTGGAACCATTCGGGCATTCTCGGGATGAACCGCCACGCCGCGCCGCACCACGCCGGACTACAGCGACGAGGTAGGTAGGCCCCACCCCCACCGGCAAGTGATTGGTGATCCTTGCTTTCAAGGAGGACACATGCCAGCGGAAAGAGGTCGGTGGGACGGAAATGAACCGGGACTCGGAAATGCATGCAAGAGGCAAGGCGAGACAATTTGGTGGCGGGATAATCCATCCAGGCCCACGTCTTACCTCCCTAGGCTCCCTTGGCTGCCTTGGCTTGCGTCGGCTCTGCCGGGAGCTCATGTGCGCAGGCCGGGCAGGCTGGGCAGGCTGCGAGGGCTAATGGCGAACAGCATGCAATGCAAATCGCGTTAACATGCGCTAAATTATTCAGCGCGTGCGGTGGGGCCGCGGGGCCGCCATCGCCAAGACCGCCCTGCAGGGCCCTGGAGGCGGCCCCGCCATGGGCCGCGCGCCCCGCACGCCCCGCCCGTCGCCATGGAGACGGGACGGACTCTTCGCGCGGCCACTGGGTGCAGGCCCTGAAGGGGCAGCATGCAAGTTCCGAGGCTGCCAGCCTTCAGCTCGGCCTCCGGTCAGAAAACGCTCTTTTATATTTGTTTCTCCTGTTTACGAAAGCCACCAATGCGATTTGCTGACCTCGGCGGTTCAACAGCCGTGTAACTAGATCACTCGAAACTTGGCCGGTGCCGGTAATCGAACCAAAGCCACTTCGGAGTCGGCCAGGCCGACAGCGAGGCACAGCGAGGCACAGCCCGACAACTCAAACTCAATTTCTAGTTGGACTTGACGGCCAGAGGCGGCGGCGCCCCGGCAGGCCCAAGCCGGCGGCGCGCTGGGTCCCAAGTGGCCACGCTGTCCTGAGGACTCGCAAAGGGAGCACACGACACGCCTTTGATTGGCAATTGTGCGCAAGCACGCCAAGCGCGGCGACAATGATGGCAATGATACACAAACAGGACACTCAAATCCTTTCAACAAAGCGTTGTCTCGCAAATGCGTGCATCTTTTCGTAAAAATAAGTACAAAATTTGGCACGAACTTGTGCGGCTCTGCGTGAAAAAAAATTAAGAACGGTGGTGTACAAAACACTGTGTGAGACCGAGACCTACAAAAACTGTGAAATTATGGCGTCGTTGACATGCGCGGCGACCGAAGAGTTCGATGTTGTGGCAGCACGCCTGCACCCCCCTCACAAACTGAGGGCCAGGTCAACTCGGGGGTAACTCGGGGGTAACTCAGGGGTTACTCGGGGTAACTCAGGGGAAGTTGGGGGAAGTTGGGGGAGGTCGGGGGGAACTCGGGGGGAAGTCGGGGGGAACTCGGGGGTAACTCGGGGGTAACTCAAGGGGAAGTTGGGGGAAGTTGGGGGAGGTCGGGGGGAACTCGGGGGAAGTCGGGGGGAACTCGGGGGGAAGTCGGGGGGAACTCAGGGGCAAGTCGGGGGGAACTCGGGGGGAACTCGGGGGGAACTCGGGGGCAAGTCGGGGGAACTTGATCGACTTGCCCAAACACTAGAAATACGCTCCAAACTAGCACCGTTGCCTTTGTCTCGTTGCCCCGATTCTAAAAGTGCCCCTACTTGCCCCTCTAGCTCACCGAAAAAATTTTGAGGGGTCGCGGCGAGGTGGCTGGGGTCGCCTGGGGTCGCGGTGGTTTCCCGGCTGGCCCACACGCCGAGCACTGGCTGCTTAAATGCCGCAAAGTTGATCAAAACGGTCACAAATGTGTGTAAAAGATCGTGTTTTGGGTCGACTTTAAGCATCCACTGCTTCTGATCCGAGGCGGTAAATCGCCCTCCCTCAACGGGCAATTGGTCTTTGGACCTTCCTTTTGCATGCCTTTGTTACGGAGTGTGATTATCTGCCTTAGTTTGGGAGCAGTTTTGCCGCAAAGTTGATTAAAACGGTCAAAAATGTCTGAAAAATCGTGTTTTGGGCCGACTTTAAGCATCCACTGCGTCTGATCCGAGGCGGTAAATCGTCATCCCTCAACGAGCAATTGGTCTTTAGACCTTTCTTTAGCATGCTTTTGTTACGGAGTGCGATTATCTGCCTTAGTTTGGGAGCAGTTATGCCACAAAGTTGATCAAAACACGATTTTTCAGACATTTGTGACCGTTTTGATCAACTTTGCGGCAAAACTGCTCCCAAACTAAAGCAGATAATCGCACTCCGTAACAAAGGCATGCTAAAGGAAGGTCTAAAGACCAATTGACCGTTGAGGGATGACGATTTACCGCCTCGGATCAGACGCAGTGGATGCTTAAAGCCGGCTCAAAACACGATTTTTCACAGACATTTGTGACTGTTTAGACCAACTTTGCGGCAGTACTGCTTCCAAACTGAGGCAGATAATTGCACTCCGTAACAAAGGCATGCAAAAGGAAGGTCCAAAGACCAATTGCCCGTTGAGGTAGGGCGATTTACCGCCTCGGATCAGAAGCAGTGGATGCTTAAAGTCGACCCAAAACACGATCTTTTACACACATTTGTGACCGTTTTGATCAACTTTGCGGCATTTAAGCAGCCAGTGCTCGGCGTGTGGGCTAGCCGGGAAACTACCGCGACCCCAGGCGACCCCAGCCACCTCGCCGCGACCCCTCAAAATTTTTTCGCGACCCCATTTGGGTCGCGACCCCAAGGTTGGAACCGCTGAGCTAGAGGGGCAAGTATGGGCACTTTTGGAATCGGGGCAACGAGACAAAGGCAACGGTGCTAGTTTGGAGCGCATTTCTAGTGTTTGGGCGAGTCGATCAAGTTCCCCCCGACTTGCCCCCGAGTTACCCCTGAGTTCCCCCCGACTTGCCCCCGAGTTCCCCCCGAGTTCCCCCCGACTTGCCCCTGAGTTCCCCCTGACTTCCCCCCGAGTTCCCCCGACTTCCCCCCGAGTTCCCCCCGAGTTCCCCCCGACTTCCCCTTAAGTTACCCCCGAGTTGCCCCCGAGTTACCCCCGAGTTACCCCCGAGTTGACCTGGCCCTCAGTTTGTCAGGGCCACGCGAAGGACGCGAAGCACGTGCTGGATTCGTGGTCCGATTGCCCCGTCGCGCCTTTGCACCCTAGTGGTGATCACAGACAGACAGACAGACAGACAGACAGACAGGCAGACGGACATGCGGACGGGTGGACGGAGAGGGGGGAAGGTGCAGAGCCAACGGAGGCACCGGAAGAGGATTGGCGAAACCAACACCCACATAAATCTTGTTGGTCCGGTTGCGGCAGATTGCTCCCGCTCTCCTCCGTGTCCCCCGCCATCCCCGTCCCCCCGACCGCCTTCCGCAGCCCCGCCCCGCCGGGCAGCGCTAGGGCGCCGGTGCTACATTTCCAGGACGTGATAATTCTTGGAATCGCGCGACCAAACAGTTTACTGGCGGCCTGCCTCGAGCCCCGCCTTGACTTGAGCCCCACCCCGCCCCACCCCGCCCCGCTCGGACTGGTGGGCGGCACCGCGCCCCGCCCCGGGAAGGGCCCACAGGCTTCCCTGCAGGGCGGCCGCGAGCCTTACACAGCCAAACCGTGCCCAAATCTTGAACCTCAACTCTGCTTTCAGAAATGCGCATGTCGTTTTACGTTGACGCTCGTAATTATTTTAGCAAACTGTGTGTGGGATGCGCTTTTGTCCGAGCCGGTAGTCAATGCCCTCGATTTGCAGCACGGCGTTTTGAGCCGCACAGTCCGACTCACCAGAAGCTGGCTTGTCTTCCCGGTTCAAGGAGCGCAACGCGCCACCCCGCCGGGCCGGCAGGAACCTCTCCGCTCCTCCTCCAACCCCCACACGCTCTGTTAGCGCGCGCCAGGACCGCTTTTATGTTTTGTTTTTCACTTTGGTCCGTCATTTTGTTTCTCTCGCCTCGTAAAGCAGCATTTCCGCGCGTTTCCAGACTAAAGCAGCGTCGGCTCCGTCTTATTGTGTTTCAAGGCAGCGGAAGAGAGCCTCTCTCTCTCTCTCTCTCTCTCTC